AAAGGTTCATTTTTCACACAGTAACACACCTGCCACACACCATAACACACCCGAAGCCAAATTCCAGCTAACACTTACAGCAAATCTTTTTTTTTTTTTTTTTTTCCTTTGGGATAACTGTTTTACATACATAAATAAAAGCTGATCATTGTAAGCACCCCTGTCAGTGGGAAATGGTTTGACATATCCCTTTAACAGCTACATCTGCAGGAGAGCCTGTTCTGTTGAAAAACAACAGGCTTACTGACCGGATCACCAGGTGAAAATAAACAATAGCCTAATAAACAGAACTAATGCAGCCATCACATTTAAGAAGTGTATTTGGGCAGTGTGGGGGCAATGGGACTGGGGGGGGGGGCATTGTGACAGGAGGAGGCACTGAAAGAGGAGGGGGGAGGTGTGTGACAGGATGGGTGCAGTGGGACAGAAGGGAGGCACTGTGACCGGGGGGGGGGGGGCAGGGTGAGAGGAGGGGGGGGCACTGTGACCAGGATGGGGGGGGGGTGAGAAGAAGGGGGCAGGGTGACAGGAGAGGCTCACTGTAAAGGAGGGGGCAGTGTAAAAGGAGGGCAACAGTGTGAGGGGAGGGGGCATGGTGACAGGAGGGGGGCAGTGTGACCAGAGGCGGCAGTATGAGTGGGGGCACTGTGACGGGTGGTGGCAGTGGAGAGCACTAAGAGGGGGGGACAGTTTGATGGGGGGGCAATGTGGCGGGGGGGGGGGGGGGGAGTGGGACAGTAGGACACCAGGACACACTACAGTATCTCAGGTGCTGCACACTGTGTGTTCTTTTAGACTCAGAATTTGTATTAGAGAGTTAGGTATGTAGGTTACCAAGCAGAAGTGGCCTCTGGCAGGGTGCACTTTTCTTACCTTACCCGGCAGCGGCAGCAGCCTGGAAGCAAGAAGTGGGAGACAGAGCTCCTATATACAGCTTGTCTCCCTTCAGTTTTGTGGATCAGGGCTGCTGGAAACACCTAACACCTGGATAGGCAGGGTGGAAAAGAACCAATCTCCTCCATTTTCCTCCTGGTGTCTGCAGGGCTTTCAGCAGCTGTAGGAGTCATGAGGAAAATGGAGGGGATTGGTTCTTCCATATGCCGCCCCTATCCAGGTATAGACAAATGTGACGGGGAGCCGCACAAACCCCCTGCAGCATGGGGCCAGGTCGCAATTGTGACCCCAATAGTTTTGCCCTCTGTGTGACTGCCTGTCCCAGTTTATTGTCACAGTAGTCAATGTCTCATTTTTTAGCATAGCCACAGAAGTGAGACTGTGTTAATGGGAAACAGTAGAGTGAAACTGAGCATAGTATTTTGTATTAACACATATTTAGAGCTTTATGTGTAAAATTCTTATGTAAAGGGACATCCACAGTATGGTTATGTGTTTGTACTGTGTATACCGAAACTGCCCTACTAAAGCTCTCTAATGACCTACTAACTGCAAAAACCAATGGCCACTATTCAATACTCCTACTACTCGACCTCTCTGCGGCTTTTTGACACGGTAGACCATCCCCTCCTCCTCAAAAAACTACACTCTTTTGGCCTCAGCGACTCTGCTCTCTCCGAGTTCTCCTCCTATCTATCACAACGCTCCTTCAGTGTTACCTATAACGCTGCCACCTCCTCCTCACTCCCTCTCTCTGTAGGGGTCCCCCAAGGTTCTGTCCTTGAACCCCTTCTCTTCTCCATCTACACCTCCTCCCTTGGTCACTTGATAAACTCCCACGTCTTCAATTACCATCTCTATGCTGATGACACGCAAATCTATCTGTCTACCCCTCACCTCACCCCCTCAGTTTCCACCCACATCGCTAGCCTACTAAGCGACATATCAGCTTGGATGTCACTCCACTTCCTCAAACTCAACCTTTCCAAAACTGAGCTCCTAGTATTCCCCCCTGCCTGCGCCCCCTCCCCTGACTTCACCGTAAACATCGCTAACACCATCCTCAGTCCATCCCCTCACGCCGGGCTACTAGGTGTAATCCTGGACTCCAATCTGTCCTTCCAGCCCTAGATCCAATCGCTGACAAAATCATGTAGACTTCACCTCCGCAACATGTCCAAGATACGCCCGTTCCTAACTCCGGGAACCACTGAGCAACCTATTCACTCCCTTGTCATATCACGCCTCAACTACTGTAACTCCCTCCTCATTGGCCTACCTCATCGCAGGCTATCCCCCCTCCAGTCTATCATGAACGCTGCTGCCAGACTCATCCACCTCACTAACCGTTCTGTATCCACCACCCCTCTCTGCCAATTCCTCCACTGGCTCCCAGTTGCCCAACGGATAAAATTCAAAACTCTAACACTGACATATAAAGCCATACACAACACTGCCCCAATTTACATAACCGATCTTATCTCTAAATATCACCCAAACCGTACACTCCGCTCCTTGCAAGACCTCTTACTCTCTAGCTCCCTTATCTCCTCCCATACTCGTCTCCAAGACTTCTTCAGGGCGTCGCCCATCCTCTGGAACTCCCTACCCCAATCTATCAGACTATCACCTACTCTACTTGCCTTTCGGCGATCACTGAAAACCGTTCTCTTCAGGGAAGCCTATCACGCCCTCTGCTAATTCTGGAATCCTCTACTCTTCCAACCACTCCATCCCCCACAGTGACTACCTACTGTACCATTCACCCCTCCCTCCTCAAATCCCTCTTGCATTGAACTGTATTGTTGCTGTATTGTCTCCCGTTATATTGTAAAGCGCTGAGCAAACCGTTGGCGCTATATAAATCCTGTATAATAATAATAATAATATGCATCATTTGCTGCTATTTTAAATGCAATCAAATGGGCTATTTCAGTATGGCAATATAAAAAGTAACTTTGTTTTATAGCAGCCTATTAGAATCTGTCTTTCTATGACCTGACTTCAATAATTTTGATATATGATTGGTTGTTATAGGTCACCACGCTTCGCATGTTATCATGATGCTGGTAAAAGCCTCAGTAAGTTACAGTGGCAGGGTAGGCAAAACTTTGCATTCTGATATTTGCAGGCTAAATCAGGTCATCTATATTATATTGCTACCGTTTATCTAGTAATTTACTTCCTTGTGTAATAGAGACCTTAAGCACAACAAATCCAATCCATTTTCTCCCATCATGTCTTTTTATTAGAGCATCATCCAAGGAAAGCGGGGGAAGCTGTGACAGAAGCAAGGAAGGGGAACAAATAACCTCTCAGGATAAGTCTGTTGATGACACGTCTGTCCTGTCTGAGTATCCTATCGTGGAGCAAATCCCCATTCCTTCAGAAACCGAAGGTGAGGAATAATTATGTATGAGGCCTAGCCAGAGGAAGCATTGAATTTCTTGTCTTAGGAACACATTCTGACACCGATTTATGGTAGTTTTTCTTTTTCATTATGGTATTTACTCCCTGGGTGGGTGGGGCCACATTTTCTAACAAATGCCTTGATAAGTGAACATGAATAGCAATATAACTCTTATTAAGGAATACTTAGTTTTTCAGACATCTTTTAGAATACATTTGTTGTTTGCGAAAACGATTATTTTGAAATCATGCATTTTTGAGCATATATTTATTTTATTACTTAATAAAACATTAATACATAAACGCACATTAATACATTCATATACGACACAACATATAAGGAATGACATACATATGGGGTACATACCCAAATAAGCCCATAGCTTCCTTCTTAGGCTGCTTCACACTGATCTGTTTTTTTTCTGCTATTGCGTTTAAGTACCACAATTGACAGAAGCGTAAAGTGTAAATAAAATGACATTTTGGGTTTATATACTAAAGCTGGAGAGTGCAAAATCAGGCTTACTTCAGCATAGAAACCAATCAGCTTCCAGGTTTTATTGCCAAAGCTTGACTGAACAAGCTGCAGTTAGAGGTTGATTGGTTTCTATGCAGAAGTGAGCCTGATTTTGCACTCTCCAGCTTTAGTAAATAAACCCCTTTGTGTTAGCAGTAACTCCAGTTAGTTTTAGATTTGTCTAACTCTTTATATTTTTCACCAAAGATGATATGCCTGATACCCAGAGAAGCCCCAAAATCTCAGTCAGTATACGTCCTGTGCCAACACAAGTAGAGGTATGTGACTCACTCCAGTAAGGCTGTAACACACACTAAATAAGAGAGCTAATAATAATGAAAATCTGATTCATTTTATGTGTTTTTTGTACAGACTGTATACTCTGAAACTGATCCGAATGCAGAGGATTCTGAAGAATCATTTGTAGAAGAAATACCAGAACAGTTTCAGTAAGTTTTTGGTTATTCCTGTTATTCTCCTTCAAAATCTCAATAATGAAGAGGTTTATGGTGAGAAGAAAACGTTCTCATGTCACAAGTAGGCTTTGCGGTTTAGAAGACCAAATCTGAATTGGGATTGTTGACTCTTATACTTGAAAACCTAAAATGCACACACAGATGAGCATGTATTTTCATACTCTAATCATTATGGAGTCCTGTGTTCTGCTTGCAGTTCTCCTTTAATAAAAGGTGTAATCATTTCTTAAAGCACACACAAGTAGGTGAGAGAAAGAGCTCTGTCAGTGAATGAATTTCTTTGTTGATAGCATCAGTTGCTGTGGAGATGATGCAGACATGCTAGGGTTGATTAAAGGAACATAACAACACAGAGAAGCCAACTGACCAGAAAACAGCTCCAGATCTGTGCTGACCTTAATTTGGTATTTATTAATTTGGAATGGTAGTGTGCAGCATGTGCAGATGAAAGTTCAAAGGTTGTACAGGTATGTTTTATGTACAGAAATCCTGTTTTTCAAGTTTGTTGTTATGAATGGAAAATGTTTATATTTTCATTTGTGATTTATTTTAGCATTGAACCTGCCATGTCCACTAGTTCTCCACTTCCACAGCCTTCACCCAATGCCACAAATGTTGCTCCAACTCCTGCTGCCTCTACCAACCTGCCAGAACCTACTTCTGATGAAAGACAAGGCACTCAGCTTGCCAACACTTCAGAGGCCGTTAGGCAGCTGTTCCAAGATGAAATGTTTCGACTACTGCAGGTAAATTTTACTGCTTTTGAACATACTTTTCTCTTGCTAATTCTGAAATTTATTGGGCATTAATAAAATTTATTAATTTTAATATATTCCTCAATAGCCTATTAAGATATTAATGTACTTTGCACCAAATACCTTTGAAACCTAGATACTACCTAGCAGGGTGGATTTGATTTAAATCAAACTGATTTAAATCACAATTTAAATCACTAGTCAGTAAGGCTTGATTTAAATCCTAGTTTTCTACATAGACTAATTCTTGCTGGTATAACTTTAATATGCAAGTAGATGAAGATTTTTAGAATAACAACTTTTCATATTATTTTTTTTATCCCCAGTTTAATAGGTTAATCATTCATATTTGGACAACTTTTCTGTTGTACTTAGGAAGGAGAAAAATAATCATTACCTTAATAATAACAATTTAAATAGATTTATTCAACTGAAACAATAACATTCCAGCATATGTGATTTGCTTAAACATCCATGTTTGTTAACTAATTTGGCTAAACAAAATATATATATTTTTAAGAAACGTAGACTGTCAGCCCCTTCCTCCTCACACTTAGCTTCACTTTCTTCTTGTGCAGATCTATTCCACTCCAAACAATCAGAAAAATATTGTTTCTATTCTATTCACTGAACTTCTTGAAACTTAGCACTGAAGGGGTTGATTCTGTATTCATAGGTTTGTAGAAATTAGGATTAAGGTCTTTTTCTTAACTCTGTTCATGTTATAACATTTTTGCTGTGAAGAAGAGGCATGTGATCTCCGCTGAGTCAAATTCAGTTTTGAGAACTGCAAAAGTAAACCAAGCATCTGTGATAATATCTTGTAGGCAGAGAAACTGCCCAATAATCTTACAAAAACCTCTGGAAGAGCATGACATTGTGAATGGATTCATGGAATTTATTTACCAAAAAAATTAAACATATACAGCCTTATTCTACATAATTAAAAAACTAATCTTTATTTCATGATGGAATAACTTTTGGATGGTAATATATTTTCCTCAAAAAGCATTTTATTTAAATAAAAATCTGATTTAAATAAAAAAAATCTGATTTTTTTAAAAAAAAAATCATTGATTTTTATCCACCCTGCTACCTAGTGAAAGTAGTCGTGATTTCAACAGAGAGCAGAGCTATGAGTGGGACCCAGCAGGTCCAACTATTAAAGGCTACCTGCAGAAAACTACAGAGAAAGTAGCAGTGAAAGCAGCAGTAAGTAGTGTCTTACAGAACACTCCTGCACAGAATCAAAGTGCAAGAGTTGTTTCACACTAGATTACTGCACAGATGGGGAAGAAATACACAAAGGAGGGATAATGGATTTACCAAAAGCCAATAGACTGTGCACTTTGCACGTGCCGCTGCACTCATTTTCCCCAGAGCTTAATAAATCTGAAAAAACTGCTAATTTCCAGTCATGTGCAAGCATCAATGCTGCTTCTTTTTTTTTTTCTTAATTTTCTTCTTGCACTTGATTGAGTATTCATTACAAAGCAAAGCTTTACCACGTTTACTAAGGAAAATGAGTGTAATGGCACGTTCACTGTCTGTTTGCCTTAAGTAAATCCATCCCATAGTTTTAAGCAGGCCATACATTAACACATTTTCTTTCGGAAAGAAAATTGATCGATTCCACCATCAACAAATTTAGTACTGATGAGGGAATCCCATTGTATTCTGAAAGTGGCAGCCTTCTCCGCCGTCAGAATACAATGATCACTGCTTGCAGCTGTAGCCGCCGGTATTGATCGAATAAACAAAACGACAGGCTGGTTGTACTGAGGTTGATAGATCAAATTCACTACAACCAGCCTGTAAATACATACATCTGTCTATGGCCGGCTTTAGCTCCCTGACGCAGTACCTTGTTGCTTTTGCTTTTGATGTAGTTGTGCAGGTGTTCACTACAGAAACAGCTGTTCTTTATGTAAGTTGTTTGTATTGATACTCAGACACCATCCTCAGTGCTGAATGCATTTGGTCACTTCATCCAGTAGTCTTTTAGCAGTGAATAAAGTGTCTATAAGGATTTAAATGCACCATAGACAACTTTGTGCACAAGATTGCTAATTACTGCCAAATGGTAGCTATCTAAACACATACACCGTGTTCCAAATTATTATGCAAATGATATTTTTCTCATTTACCTAAATAATTGATGTAAATAACAGTCAGCATAATTCTCATGTTATCAACTATTAAGAGCACAATTCACATTTTATTGAACAAACCTCCTAATTAGAGATGAGCGAATCGAACATGGCGAAGTGGAATTCGTTTCGAAGTTCAGGAAAAATTCGATTCGCGCCGAATCCAAAAATTAGCAAACTTCGGATGCACGAATCGAATTTTCCCAAAAATGGCGGTGACATGTGTGGCGACGGAGCGGGGATCTCTGGGAAGGCGCGCAGACAAGGCGCGCTGACCCATAATGCATTCATTCATGACATGTGATCGCATTAGCCAATCAGCAGCCAGCCAGCCAGCACTGTGTAATGGTGGAGCTATAAATTGCGGCCATCTTAGAATTCTCCATTAGTCTCCGGTCATTCAAGAGAGACAGACCTGTCTGTATTAGGGACAGAGTTAGGGCCAGAGAGACTTTAGGGCCACAGAATCGTTACTTAGGGACACAGAATCGTTACTTAGGGACACAGAATTGTTACTCAGGGACACAGAATTGTTACTCAGGGACACAGAATTGTTACTCAGGGACACAATCGTTACTCAGGGACAGACACAGAATTGTTACTCAGGGACACAGAATTGTTACTGAGGGACACAGAATCGTTCAAGAGAGACAGACCTCTGTGTATTAGGGACAGAGTTAGGGCCAAAGAGACTTTAGGGCCACAGAATCGTTACTTAGGGACACAGAATCGTTACTGAGGGACACAGAATTGTTACTCAGGGACACAGAATTGTTACTCAGGGACACAGAATTGTTACTCAGGGACAGACACAGAATTGTTACTCAGGGACAGACACAGAATTGTTACTCAGGGACACAGAATTGTTACTCAGGGACACAGAATTGTTACTCAGGGACACAGAATCGTTACTGAGGGACACAGAATCGTTACTGAGGGACACAGAATCGTTACTGAGGGACACAGAATCGTTACTGAGGGACACAGAATCGTTACTGAGGGACACAGAATCGTTACTCAGGGACACAGAATCGTTACTCAGGGACACAGAATCGTTACTCAGGGACACAGAATCGTTGAATTAAAGAGTATGTCAGACAACACGCAGAGGAGTGGCAGAGGAGGCAATGTTTCAGGAGCGAGCAGACGTGGCAGCAGAGGAAGGGGTCGAGGCAGCACTAGTCGCATCCAGAGGCCAGTGCTCCCGGTGTCATCCAGCGGTCGTGTCTCCACCGACAACCCTGCCGTCATCGATTGGTTGACTCGGTCGTCTTCCTCTTCCCAGGTCACCTCTGACACCTACAGCCAACGGTCGGTGGGTACGTCAGACACAACCGTTAGTTGGCATGGCCCGGGAGCAAGCCCACTGAAATCACGTGTCCTCGACCTGCCCCTGTCCTTTGGTGTTCCCTCACCAAGCGAAGTATCGCATGCTGTGGGCTCAGCCCCACTGTACAGTGAGGAAGAGCTAACAGAGGGCGGTCAGGAACGGGGGGAGACATCCGCCTCTTCAGCAGCCAGGCGAAGAAGTACTGGCGAGGAGAGTGGCTCGGTAGCCGGTCTAGAGACAGGTCTGTCTCCTGACCCACACGCAGCCGAGGGGGCTAGTAGTGAGGCGGAGACCCTAATTGATGATGATGAGGCTGATCGCACTTGGCAGCCTCGTCGTCATCTGCCAGGCCCGTAATCTGCCATGGGCCCCCGTACCGACTCCTCATGCTGCTGCCAGGCCCGTAATCTGTCATGGGCCCCTGTACCGCCTCCTCATGCTGCTGCCAGGTCCAGAGTGTGTCATGGTTCCCTGTACGGCCTCCCATTGCTGCTGTCTCCATCGCCACACTCTGCCATGTGCCACTTTCAGGTCTCCTCACACTGCTGGTGGGTTCCATTTTGTCATAGGGTGCTGGAAGATTACAGGCCTCCCATTGCTGCTGACAGGCCCGTAATCTGCCATGGGCCCCCGTACCGCCTCCTCATGCTGCTGCCAGGTCCAGAGTGTGTCATGGGTCCCTGTACGGCCTCCCATTGCTGCTGTCTCCATCGCCACACTCTGCCATGTGCCACTTTCAGGTCTCCTCACACTGCTGGTGGGTTCCATTTTGTCATAGGGTGCTGTATGGCCTCCCATTGCTGCTGCCTCCACCGCCACACTGTGGCTCCACACTCTGGTTTTGGCCCCGTGACTGCCCAAATGAGTGAAGTGTGCGGTGATTCTAAGATCGACGGCACTCATCTGCATGTCATACTGACTGACAGTATTATTTCTCTTCCCCAGCAGACTCCAATTGCATTTAAATTAAAGGTACAGTGTTCTGCACTAATATAAAGGCTCTCTGAAGCCTAGAAACACCCTTTTTATAAGTTAAATTCGCAGCGAATATATTCGACTCGAATCGAATTTATTCCGCAAATTTGCCGAATCAGCCGAATCGAATTTTTGAATAATTCTTTCATCTCTACTCCTAATGATAACAGGATTTTTTTTAAACATAAAACACTTACAATGCACTGTTCCAAATTATTACGCACAGTAAGTTTCAAAACACTTTATAGGTTGTAAAGAACTGAAAATTGTCATTTGTTGTGTTTGCAGCATATTTACTGAAATCAAAAGCTATTTCAATCAAACTTTTAACAACATTTTAACTTTTAAACATTTTAACAGGTCACGTTACATTTTAACATAGGACCCCTTATTTGATAGCAGCTTCACAAGTCTTGTATCCATTGAACTTGTGAGTTTTTGGACAGTTTCTGCTTGAATTTGTTTGCAAGATGTCAGAATAGCCTCCCAGAGCTGATGTTTGGATGTAAACTGCCTCCCACCCTCATAGATTTTTTGCTTGAGGATGCTCCAAAGGTTCTCAATAGGATTGAGGTCAGGGGAGGATGGAGGCCACACCATGACTTTCTGTCCTTTTATCCACATAACAGCCATTGATGCAGAGGTATTCTTTGCAGCATGAGATGGTGCATTGTCATGCATGAAGATGATTTTATTATGGAAAGCATAGTTCTTCCTTCTGTACCAGGGAAGAAAGTGGTCAGTCATAAACTCCACATACTTTGCAGAGGTCATCTTTACACCTTCGGGGGCTCTAAAGGGGCTGACCCGCTCTGTTCCCATGATTCCGGGCCAAAACATGACTCCACCACCGCCTTGCTGACGTCGCAGCCTTGTTGGAACAGGGTGGCCGTCCACCAACCAACCACTACTCTATCCACCTGGACCATCCAGGGTTGCACGGCACTCATCAGTGAACAGGTCTGTTTGAAAATTAGTCTTCATGTATTTTTCTGCCCAATGCAGCCATTTCTGCTTGTGAGCATTGGTTAGTGGTGGCCGCATAGAAGGTTTATGCACAGTTGCAAGACTCTGGAGGACTCTACACCTTGATGTCCGTGGGACTCCAGAGGCACCAGCAGCTTCAAATATCTGTTTGCTGCTATGTAATGGTATTTTAGCAGCTGCTCTCTTGATCCGATGCATGGATCTGGCAGAAATCTTTCTCAATGTGCCTTTATCTGCACGAACCCGTCTGTGCTCTGAATCAACCACAACTCTCTTAATAGTGCGATGATCACGCTTAAGTTTTCGTGAAATATCTAATGTTTTCATACCTCGGCCAAGGCATTGAACTATTTCACTCTTTTCGACAGCAGAGAGATCCTTTTTCTTCCCCATATTGCTTGAAAATGGTGCTCTGCTTAATAATGTGGAACGCCCTCCTTTAGTAGTTTTTCCTTAAATTGGGCTCACCTGCCAATAATTATCACAGGTGTCCGAGATTGTTTTCAGTGATCAGAAGATCCCTGACACACAATGCCATCCATGAGTAAGGCTGGCCATACATTATACAATTATCTGCAGATTTTTGGTTTAGATTTACCAAAAACCATATAATAGGAGGACAAACCTAAACAACACTTTCAGTTGTATCCAATTAGGCAGGCCCTTGCACTACATAGTTGAAGGTAAATCTAAAGGAAATTGGGCAGAAAATCTGCAGATAATTGTATAATGTATGGCCAGCCTTACACTGAAAAACAAAATATTTAATCTTTGTGACACTGAAATAGATTTTGCATAATAATTTGGAACGTGGTATAAGCACTAAAATATTGAAGTGTAAAATATTGAGTCGGAGCTTATAATGAGCTAATATCAATTTATACAAAGAAAGCATAACTAAAAAGATTTTTTCAATTGTTTTCATTTTGTTTTTTAGCTCCAGCAGATCAACTTCATGAGCTTGATGCAAGTTGTGGGGTCTTCCTTTGCTGCTCTGCCAGCCATACAGCAGATCATGCAGCATACAGCACAGATGACAGGGAATCTGGTGACCATCCCTACAGTGGGACAGGCTCCTCTTCAGGCCATTCCACCAGCTCCAGAGATTAATACTAATCTGCAGACACAGAGGGCTGATGTGGAGAAAGCAGTGAAGATGGGAACAGATGAAGCTGCTGAGACAAAGCCTGTCAATCACCTAGGCAATAAAGAGAATCTGCAGGTACTTTAAAACATTTTTTACATATGTATATATCAGAGTGTTGTTTTGTGTGTTTGCATGGTATATGTATCAGTAATACCTGTAGCAGCTGCACTTCTGAACATGAAAGCAGTGATTTATCTCACACCTTCACTTTTGCTCACTGAAAGTGAACCCTTTGCTTTTCCTGTACATATTAAGCAACAGGTTCACTCAACTGCTCATGCTTGCCATAGTTCAACACCCTTAGGCTAGGTTCACACTGGCCAAAGCTCTGAAAAGCGATCTAGGGTGGATTGCCTCTCAGAGTACGATTAAGCGGATGCTGTCATGTGTTCAGGCGGCAAACCTGCCTTTCCCAGACTGAAAGGAGTGTAGTGTAGTTGGCACCAAAGGTGGAAGATGATACAAAGTGAGATGAGTATACACACTTTTATTTACAGGTTCATTTTACACCTTCAAATAGCAGATGGTTTGTGAAGGGCCCGTGCAGTGCATGTTGAACTTGAATTTTACAGCAAATGTCTGCTTTAATGATGGTGGGACAGCGCCATAGATGAAGTGAGCTTTGCAGCCAGAGCTGATGTCTTTGTTTTAAAACCTGCTAGGTAACTTTTTTTTTTAAATGGTTTGTCTAGCTTTGACCTTTAATATAAAAGAGGCGTTCAAGTCAAACCGGGACTTTTAATTTTACAGGTATAAAAAAAGATGCTAGCGTGGCGATTTAGTAAGTGGCAAGTGTGTGTCCTATTACTGATAGGTGCGCACATGTTGCAGGTCAGTCCTGAGACTGTTAATCAAGATGGCAGACAACAGTGTTGGTTTTAAACCTGCTAGCGTAACTTTTTTTTTTTAATGGTTGGCCATGCTGGTTCCCAGCTCACAGCAGTCATTCCTGTGAACATTAAGCACGTGGAATGCCTGATCGTGGATAATTGAGGCATAACCTGTCATGAAACTGCACAAGAGATGAATATTTCTGTGGGAACAGTGAACACAATGATGACGAAGCAGGCTGTCCTAGGATGGTTCAGGCGTACAGACAAATTTTTCTATGCCGAAGCCTTCCAGGCATTAGTTAAATGCTGGGATTAGTGTGTAAATGTAGCAGGGGAGTATATAAAAAAATAAATGCAGTTTCTACTTCTTGAAATTTGTTCATTTATTATATAAACTCAAAAGTTCCTGTTTGACTTGAACTCCTCTTGTATTTATTGAATAATAGAGGGTAAGTGTTCCTACAAGAAGACTGTTATCATTTGCTTGGCATTAGAAGTTAGAAAATGTTAGACTGCTGAAAAATATTTTTTAACTAGCTGTGCACATAGATAGGCTCACCTACATTGTCCTTGGCCACATGTGGGTACATATAAACCAAAGCGCTTGCTAACGTCCTGTTGTTTCGCATAAGGTAGGTAACTTGCCACACATTGTGCTATCTTTATGTTGTATGTGTTAAGGACTCCAGTTGTGTTCTTTTAGAGGTAAAATGCAGGTCAACACGCCAAACTGTAGCATTCTGGACTTCTTTGTTAGCATGAACTATTCCTTTGAATGAAATGATGTGCACGCTTACTTTTTGATTGCATTGGAAATAGCGCTAAATGCAATGATATGGAAATAGCAAGGAATGCACTGCTATGCAGCCATGGTCATAGAGCTTTCAGTGTGTACTGGACATCATGAGATGTGTCAGTCATTTATGGAGAAATTATGTTCTCACTGTTCCTGTGTGGGTTTCCGCCGGGTACTCTGGCTTCCTCCCACACTCCAAAGACATGTTGGTAGGTGAATTGGTTCCTGTCTAACTTTGCGCTAATATGTATGAATGTGAGTTATCAGGGACCTTAGCTTGTACGCTGCTTGAGGGCAAGGACTGATGTGAATGTACAATATATGTAAAGTGCTGTGTAAATTGACAGTGCTATATAAGTACTTGCAATAAATATAATAAATTAATGGTGAAATATATATAATTTGAAACACATTCCAAAATTAACTTATTTTAGCTGCCATTTTTCATTTTTGTCTTTTTTATGCAGAGACCCCCCGAGATTAACATACCTTCAAGCCAGGTTAATGAAAGCGAAAGGATTCCAGCAAATATGGGATTATTAAGTACTGCTCCTCATGGAATCCTGCCTTTAATTACTCCTGCATCAAACCAGCAAAAGACCCTGAATCTCCACCCACCCCCAGGAACAAATAACTTCAATGGATTTCCACTACTTAAACTACACACAGCACCCACTCTAATGTCATTAAACTTGCTATCTGGAGCACAAAGTTACTCAAGACTTAAAGATCGTCCTCCACTTAGGGAGGCATGGGGGCCATCAATTAGGCAACCCAGTGATCAGTCATCCAGTGACTTAAACCAGTCTCCATCCTATATTAGCAGTTCCACCACTAAAGCCAGCAAAAGGACAGAGAAGGCAACAAAATGGGCTCAGCCTGTGGTAAAAAGACACTCAAAACATTCAGTTGGTAACTTGTCTAAGCAAAATGTTCCTGTTGGCCAACCATTCCTGAAATCAGAGGAAAACAGATGGAGACCTGAAGAAAGATTGCTAGAAACATCACAGAACAATGCAGGAATGCCCTTATTACGTCTGCGTACCGACCCGGCAATGTATCTCCCATCCATGCCACATCCCAGCTTTACTGTATCAGTGGCGACACCTCACGCAGGGATATCTGACCAATCAAAGGGTCCACCAGTGGCTGGATTTACTCTACTGAAGGCCAGTTTACCCCAACAGATTCAGGTAATTTGAAGCCCATTGCCTCAGATTATTGTAATGCTACAAGGTATGAAAGATGCTTTTCTGTAGACTTTGAAGACCTTCCTGTGCCATTTGTTAAATTACTTGTAAATCCTCACACAACCTTCGGAGTATTGGTTAACAATATTAGCCACCGTTTCTTACTTGAGGATAACCTAACCAGTACTTTATTCTTTTTTATGGAGGAAATATCAGACTGTTAAAACTAAGCTGTCAGTCTGACCCAGCGATGAAAGGGCTGAAGGGCTAGGTGATACGCGAGGGATATTTAAGTTATGGATGCATGCTGACAGACTAAATCTCTTAACTGGTGTCTGATATCAGCAAGATGTCCCTGCCATTATCCTTAACCCTGTTAGGGGATTACAAGTGGCTGATACTAAGACTAAGCCCTGGTTCACACTGATGCGGTGCGGAATTTGCACACAGAAAACAGCGTTTTCTGTGCGAATTCCGCACCGCATCAGAACCGCACCCCGTTCATGCGAACCGCTGAGGGTGTGTATGTTAAGTTAACACACCAAAAGTGGTTCGCAATAGGTGTGAATACTCATGCGATTCGATTCTAGTGCACACCCAAAAAAGGGTTCTGCATGTTTTTGGTGCGGATGCACTGTTATTAGAGCCATACAAAATGTATGACTCCAATCGCACCGCACACAAATCACATGTGATTTGCACAGGAATGTGATGCGGTTTCTGTGCGAATCACATGCGATATACCGCACCGCTTATATGTGAACCCAGGCTCATTCAAATACTTTCTCAAGTATCAGTAAGGAGTCTCTGCCATTATCCTTCACCCTGTTAGGGGATTGCAAGAGGCTGATACTACGACTAATTCAGATACTTTCACTAGTATCGGCAAGGGGTTCCTGCTGTTACCCTTTACCATGTTAGGGGATTGGAAGAGACTAATTCAGATACTTTCACTAGTATCGGCAAGGGGTTCCTGCTGTTACCTTTTACCATGTTAGGGGATTGGAAGAGACCTACTTTCACCGGCAAGGGGTTCCTGCTGTTATCCTTCACCCCGGGGGGATTGCAAGAGACTAATTCAGATACTTTCACTAGTATCGGCAAGGGGTTCCTGCTGTTACCCTTTACCGTGTTAGGGGGACTGGAAGAGGCTGATACCAAGAGATATTTTCTCTAGTATCAGCAAGTGTTCCTGCTGTTATCCTTCACCTTGTTAGGGGATTGCAAGAGGCTGATACTAAGACATTCAGATTTACTCTCTTGCATTTAAAAAATACATTTAATAATTTAATTAAAATAGAACTGCATTAAATGTGTCTCTTATATTTGCCTGGAGTTCAGCTTTGAAGTTTTTATCATTGCAATTCTATATATACATGTTTGTTCTATTTTAGGATTATATAGATTGGCCTTAAATAAATCTATCATGAGAGATATATGAGGATTACAATTGCAGACCTCTTTCTGCATATACTAGTTCCCTGATTGTATGGTTCAGTACTTTGTGAATCAATGACTTAGAAAAACTATGGATATTAGGAAAGGCAAAAAAAAGTGCAAATTTGCATACTTGTTCGGGGTCAGTTACTTCTTGAAGTATTGAAACCATAGGGTCAAAATGACAACCAGGCACCTCTCATTTTTAGAAGGAGATTAGCAATGGCATCCTCCATGTTTTACTCATGACATACTTTCTTTAAAAAAAAATAAAATTTAGTTTTTTTTTTTATATTTCCCTGCATGCCAGCTTCATTTCTACTGAGTGCTGCATTAACATGACAGACAGGCCTATCTTCAAGTTAAAGTCACTTAAAGGAGCTGTTCTTTACACGGTGTGACTGCCAGGTGAAGTGTTAACTGTTGCAAATGTGGGAAGGCAGGAGGATCCAGGCAAATGCAGTACCGCAAGTCATGAAAAAAAAAATAGACATATTGCAGTGGCAATTAAATTACAGGTGTATCGGTCAACATACAGTATACAAGTGGCATGTCTGTCCGTGGTGTTTGTCTTCACTGAAAGAGACCTTGTGTTATGTTTCGTCAGAGTCTACAGATCAGTCCCACTCCTAGGCTCATCCCCCTGCAGAACCTGATTGCGTTTGAACGAGATGCAGCACAAAGAGGTGAACCAGAAAGTTTTCAGCTGCTAAAAGCCAACATTCATCCTTTTGAAGAAGTGGGGAATGATGGAGACAGTATTAAAAGGTACAGAACAAAATATGACATTTTTTTTTTTCTGTATGTCTTTTAGAGTGTGTATGAATTCTGAGATGCAGGTGTAGAGTGCCTACACAAGAATTCCATTCCTTATTTTACAAGGGCTTCTTCAATATGCAATGATGTACATGCAAAATGGATATCATTGGCATATAAGAAGCTTTTTTTTTTTTCTTTTACAAAGAGCTTTATTGAGGGTTAAGCAAAGAAAAACAGACATTCGGAATACAAGTTCAATGACCAGCAAATATAAATTGTATTGGGCAAGTGGAAGCCTTTTCAAGGTATACATTGATAGAGGCATAAACTGAAAGGTTTACATAAGAGTCTTTTAGAAAAGGATGAGGGAAGGGAATGGGAAGGGAACGATAAGCAAACCTTTGTGGGTCACTGATAATGAAGACTCTAAAAGGAATATTTTGCAGCATCAACATTATAGAAAACATGAGAGGCACGGAAAGAGACCCCTCCAAAGAATGATACATGTTCTAAACCTTGGATTCATAAAGAGATCTAGGTTGCAAAGATAGTATTGCAGATGTTACCCATAAAACAGCAAACACAAACTGTAAAATATGTTTAAAGACAGATTGGACAGGAGGATAAAAGTTGACAAACAGTGGAAAGACACGGACAACAACAACATCAACAAAAAAAAAAAAAAAAAAAAGAAGAAGGGGGGAAGGAGGGCTCCGGGGCGATCACAGCAGAATCCATTCTTATATCGACAGAAGGGACTGAACCAGTTAGCGACATGGAGACTTATAAAAAGGAAGTTTTAGTCCACCGCGACCCCCGGGAGCCCTGAAATTTTTTTTTTTACAAAAACACACATGACAAAAGACAAGGAAAAGGGAGTAAAGAAGGAAGGAACGGACAAGAAGACATCTGATATACATGCAAGATATCTGAGATACATTAAGGTTAATTCAAACAATATAACAGTCAGCTGTGGGTAGAATACCCACATAGAGGCGAGGTAGCGGGCGGGACAAAAAACCAGACCGCTAACCAGCTCGGAGGGGGACACGATCGTCCACCGGAACAACTCGGCAGTAATGTAAATTATAGAAATATTATACAAACAATTTAGGCTAATACACCTATAAACCAGCAATCCAGAGCTCACAGGACACTGGAGATCTCAACCAATCAGGGCAAAAAAAAAAAACAAACATCCACTCCAAGTTGGAAGAGATAAAAAAAAAAAAAAAAAACACAAAGTTTTGAAATCCCTTAACAGATCTAGAGTCTATTCTAGAAATTGGCAGCAAAAAATAAGAAATCCACACATGGCGGAACTATATATTGGCGGCCATCCTCTAAACATCAAGTCGCGGAGACTTCCTGAAAACGCTGGACTTGTAGGGATCAGAGAGCCTGGGAACCACTTTGACTGGGAGGAGATTTACGCAGAGACTGGGAATTCCGAAGGCGCGCAGGGACTGAAGTCTCCTCACTCTGAGATTGTGGCAGTTCCAGGTTAAGCTCACAAAAGTGACGTTGAAGATCCGCTGGCGAAGAGGCCTGGAATTGACGCCCCCGCGAGGAGAATGAGAGCTTGAAAGGGAAACCCCATCTGTACTTGATATCAGCCGACTGAAAAATTTGAAGATAGGGTCTTAAGGTACGTCGTTTGGCAATCGTAACTGGGGACAAATCCGCGAACAGATGAACAGAGTGGCCCTGAAACTCCAGAGCCGAACGATTCCGAGCCGCCTGTAGTAGACGTTCTTTAGTGCGGTAATAGTGGAATTTAATAATAATGTCTCTGGGTGGACCCTCCGTGGACTTGGGTGCTAGAGCTCTATAAATATGGTCAAACTCTAGACGTTCCATAGGAATCCCAGGGGCCAACTCCTGGAAAAAAGCAGTAGCAGTACCCTGCAAATCGGTAATTGCCTCGGGGATTCCGCGGATGCGGAGATTATCCCTGCGCGCCCTATTCTCAGCATCCTCCAGCTTATCTTTTAAAGTATCCAGCTCAGCATGCAAATCCTCCACTTCCTGCTCATGACCCTCCAGGACTGTAGTCTCCAGATCCATACGTTGCTCCAATTGATGGGCGCGAAGGCCCAACTCCTTTAGGCCTCTCGCCAGATCAGAAGATAATTTACGTGAGGCAGCTGTAACCTCCTCTCGCACTATAGCACGGAATTTGTGTAGCAAGGCTTCGGGATTGTGTTCAAAAGATTCAACCATCCCCGAGGGAAATTGCCGCTGGCTATCGCCATCAGACTCGGGGTCACCTGGAAGCTGGTGTTGTCGTCAGGCTCAGGCGGGCTAGGAATCAGCTTAGCGGTGTGGCCCCGCGAAGGGGATTGCTGTTGGGCCCGAGGCTTAAGTTTAGTGCGGGGAGTGCGATGCATCGCTAGGAGTGGTCCACAGGATTCCAAAGCACCGACAGACTATTGAAGTAGTATGCTAGGGTGTAAAAGCCCAATGGCCGAGAAAAATATTTCGGTGGCACGGCACATGGAGGTCACTTTGACATATTCCTCCTGGCTTGTGCACATGTCCCCCTCCGAGGGGGGTGTTCACAGAAGATTCATCAAACGCTGCAGTCAGTAGGATGTAGACGGATGTAACAACCAAGCTGGGTGTGCAGGCTTTGAGGGGGCTGGCAAGAGATATCCCTGGCACCCCTGATGTGTCCCCCTGGGAATGGGGTTAATAGTGAGAGCCTCTGCAGCCCACCAGCACCAACCCCGCAGCTAATCAGATTCCCAGTGTCCCACAGGAGCCCCGCAGGGATAGAATGCAAGCCACGGTGCCCACCACCCAGTCCGCCCCAATAGCTGACCTGACTCCAGAAGCGGAGGGGCAGAACGGCGGTATGACGGTCCGCCCGTGCCGGCGATCCACCCCTGCCGCAGATTCAGGAAACACCGCGGCTTCACACGCCACGGTAGGCCGCAGACCGTCCCGCGCCCCGGATGCTCGGAGAAGGGGCAGAATGTCACAGCACCCCTCCTCGGGTGTCAGGGAGGGTACCTGCAGTCGGGAATCTGCAGCGGATGGCCGCTGCATGTAGGATGGCGGCGGATGGGAGCTCAGGGTGTCGGAGCTCGGGAAGAGACATCTGCTCCCGATGCCATCTTGGACACGATAACACCAGCCTTGTAAATACCCAATTTTTTGCTAGAGTCCTAAGGTGATGGACCTCTTCTATACTACAGTAAAAGCGGTACATCTGGAAATCACACAAAGGAATAACCTAACCCGTAGCTATGGCTGAGACCAGGCTAAAGGCAGCCATGACAAAACCTCAGGCTGAAGGTCAGCACAACACTCAAACTCTGTGTGATGATCCTTCACTTGCACTGGAGCTGAAATTGATTTTAACACCAGTCTCTGCATCCGACTGTAGTTCTATATCTCAGACAGATAATAGCATTAATACAGTCATCTTTGTCCAGGGCAACAAAATACCACATTCCTCCATCTCTGGTGTCTCTACCTGAGTCAGATCCCGATGTGCCTGCCTAGATGGGGCAAACAGAAAAGAAAATGATGAGGTTATAGAGGTGGTATTAGAGGATGGTGCAAAAGATTAAAAGATTTTCAACCCCCCCACATTCTTACACCTGAAACTTCGTGCAAACCTATAAAGACATTCCTTGTTCATGAACAAATAGACTAGACAATCCATGACAACTGGATCACTTCAGAAAAGATTTTGACTTCTGCAAAAATCTGCTCTGTTCCTGTAGTTGATCATAGTGTCTCAGCCTTACCCATCTCACTGTGCCAACTGACATTGTTCCTTCATTTAAAGATTCTGTAGACAGGAAGTTTGAAATGCTATTAAAGGCTGTACTTACACTTGCAGGCCTAGCCCTGCAGGCAATTGTTGCTGAAGTGCCAGTATGTCAAATTGCAGCAAACTGGACTAGGGCAATGAAAAAACATTATCCTGTTTTCCAGGACAATGTTTTAAAACCGTAGTAAACCGCAAAAAAATAAAACAAAAAAATCTTCTCCCTGCAAGAGAAGAGCATAATATGCTAGTATGCATCGAATACTAGCACATTATGAAAGACTTGCCGTAAAATGAAGCCCTCCAGTGGAGTGCTGTCAGTGCTCCCCAAGGCTTTCATCTTCACCCAGTCTTCCTTCTAGGTTTGCGGGCTGTGGCCGTTTGACTGGCCGAGTAGCATTCACATCACTACTGCGCATACGCACGGGAGTACATATTAAAGGCTTACCTGTAGGAATAAAAAGACAAAACAGAACTTTACTACCACTTTAACAGGGAATTTACAACAATTACCTTCTGCTCTTCTCTTTGCTGCGATGAGACACATTTCCAGAATGGCTTTAATCTCAATACACGTGCAGAATCCTGTGAATCAAAGCCTGGACAAACGAAGTTGCCTGTAAAAAGGGCCTCACACATATACCCTTTCAAGGTAGAAATCTTTTTGGGGAGGCACTTGACTAGTTCATAAAATATGTCACAGGAGTAAAGGTTTTACTTTCACAGCAGACTATCCCAAAACCCCCCTCCTTGGGAGCCTCAACCTCCTCAAAATGGAGAGCACCTAATCTCTGTACTCAGGCTTCATCTTCATAACCTAAGTTCAGCCCTTCCTTCTGGTGCAAGACATGGGACGTAAAGCCCACCAAGTCTTCCCCAAAGCCCTCTTTCAATTGAAAGGGGCAACCTCACTCATAGGAGTGTGTGTGTGTGTGTGTGTGTGGGGGGGGGGTGTTAGGTAATCTGTTAGAGTTTTCCCCTCTCTGGTCACAGATGTCTGAGTCCAGGCAGTGGTTTCAAAGGGGTACAAAATTGTTCTGTACTCTATCCCTTCACCACTTTCTTCTCTCAAATGAACCAAAAACTTCCCAAGGACAGTCAGAGTTCTGCCAAGTTGATGTCAGATCTTCTACCACAAGGTTCTTGTAGCAGTACTGTGAATTTGGGTATTTTGACCCTTATAGTTTTTGCTGGGCCTTGTTGGCACAGTTCTGTTTGCCTAGATATGGTATTTACATGCAAGTCCAAAATCATCTTTTATTTATATATTTGGACTATACCATGCTACCATTTTTAATGTTAACATAATGAGCATAATGTTTGCCAACAGACCAAGTCTTTTTGCAAATTATATACCAACGCAAGAAGCAATCAATCTGTATATCGTCTGCACTTTTCTATTTTAGACAAAAGAGGCGAACTCTGAAAGAAAAAGGCGAGAAGAAAGAAAAGAAAACATCTGTTACATTTCGTCCAGAAGACTCAATCATCATTCCAAATAACTTTGATGAAGTTGTGGAAAAAAGAGGTAACTTCATTTCTCTCCCATGGTCTTTTGTCACTAACTTTGTGCAGCACCAATGGATGGCTGTAAAGACAGATTACCTGTGCATTAACCTGATGTCTGTCTTTATCTCTAGAAAGAACTTCATCATAAACCTAATTTAATGGAGAGCAATGAATTTGTACTTCCATTAGGTAAGTAAAAGTAATATATATACAGGGAATACTGTAAAGTAGACATGTCAAACTCAAGTCCAAGGCAGTTACACCTTCATTCGTGGGCAACACTTTGACAGATATAAAATGGTTATTCCAAATGGTTCCAAAAGATAGCTACAGCGCTGTTGTCCAGTTCTGGGAGGGCGTCATACGACGCCTCCTAGAATGTGCCCTCAGCGGCACGCACCTGGCACTGTCAGTAATCGCTGTCTCCTATGGACACAGCTGATCACATGGTTAGGTAAACGGCCAATCACAGTGGCCTTTTACCATGTGATCAGCTGTGTCCAATGACACAGCTGATCACAAAGTAAATACAATTGCCAGTTATCGGCAGCACTTTCTTCACGCTGTCTCAACGTGAGGACAGTACTGCCAATAACCGGCAAATGTCACCGACCAGATCTGCACTGAATTAGGGCACTGATTACCATTGCCCTGGCTGCATATCAGTGCTGTCTATCAGTGCTGCCTATCTGCAGCCTCATCAACACACATCAGTGAACACACCATCACAATGGCCTGATGAGCTTAATTACAATCTACGGAGGGAAGTGCTGTCTTACAAATACAGGGGTTGCCCAAAAAAGTTTTCCAAAAACATGGCCCTCGTGGCTGTCTTCTAATGATTCCATGTGCTCCTTACCCATGGCTGCTGATTAGAGGGGATAGGTAATTTCTCTAGCAACTGCAGAAAGTTTATTGCGATACATATCCTACATTGGAATATTGAAATGGCTTTTGACATGGATTTTCGCTGAGGGTCGTGGGAATACTTTTCAATGTATGAGTAAAAGTTTTAAGTCTTGTGAACCCCTCCAATGCACAATCTTTACACTGTGTGCCTTCAACACTTTGTTTTTCTTTGAACTGTGTATTCTGTTTCTCATCTGCATTGAAATACTTGTATTTTTTTTATTTAACTGGAAAATACTTAAAAAAAAAATAAATAAATACCCGATTTAAAAAAAAAAGTGACAGAGACTGTTTGGGACAATGCTTTAACACAGAGCTGGGCAAATTGCCACCCACATATGGCCCTTTGGCTGTCCTTGTCTGGCTTGCAGTGCCTCCGCTGTTGGCTTCCTCACTGAGGAAGTGACACTAGGAAGTCCTGGGTATACCACTTGACTCCTGACAGTTAAACAGAGCAGTGCTGAAGTGAGGAAACTTCTGTGTTGCTGGGTAAAGGAAGAGTTTAGTGAGAGTTTCTTGCTTTGCCCTGTATGGATAACGCAGGGGGGCACTCTGAAAGGAGGATGCTGTATCACTTTGTGACCTTTTCAGCTAACTGTACCACATCCCTAGTGGGATTGTAGCATGCAGCGTCTGAACTGAGGATATCTTTCTTTCAGGCACATTTGAAACGGAGTTGACAGATCAGATCCCAGGCCCTCTGCTTCCAACTATGGCAGAATTACATTATTTGGCTTCCTTAACTAAAAGACCACCTGCCGTTCATGATGCCAGCACCAACACAGCCTTTGGTAAATGTGCATTATCACAAATGTCACACTCATTTGATATTTTATATTCAGTTATCTAGGGTATGTTCATGTCAGCCAGAAGCCATACTGGCCTATGCTACAATGATGTATTGATCCACTGACATGAAGCTACTGTATTCATCTTTTACCCCTTGTTGCTTCCAATGTTTCTGTTTAGAGTTGGAGAAAATCCTGTCAAATTTAAAGGGCTGGTATATAAATCCAGCCAGAGTGAGCTGTCAAAGTTAACAGGAAGAAAGTGCAAAGGGGACTTCACAACTCTGGATCTAAGGTCTCATTCAGATGGGCAATGAGCTGCTTCTAATAAAAATAAATTAACCGCTTCCCGACCGCCATTTCGCATAACTACTGCTACAGGGCGGCAGGGCTGCGCACAATCATGTGTATAAATACATGTGATTTTGTATTTCTGGGTAGGAGGTGTGCGTGCCCCCTACCTGCACTGCCATTGGTGGCTACAGCTGTCGATCACCAGGTCCTGGCCGGAGATTCTCCACTGAGGAACACTGGCGGAAGAGGTCTGTATGTAAACTATACAGATCTCTTCACTGTCAGCACCAGTATGCTGCTTTGTATTGCTCTGCATAGCAGAGCAATACAAAGCAGCATGCTTACATAGTAAAGCACACACAGACAACATAGTAAAACAGCACACGGTTAACCCTTCCTGCCCAGTGTCATTAGTACAGTGTCAGTGCTTTTTATTAGCACTGATCACTGTATTAGTGTCACTAGGGATGTCAGTGGCTGTCAGTTCCCCCCATGTCAGAATGCCCGTCGCAGTCCCGCTATAAGTCGCTGATTGCCGCCATTACTAGTATAAGAAAAAAAATTCCAGTGTATATATACCGGCATTTGTAGACACTATAACTTTCATGCAAACCAATTAATTTACATGTATTGGGATTTTTTTTTTTTTTTTTAGCAAAGACATGTAGCAGAATACGTTTTGGCCTAAATTTATGATGAAATTTGATGTTTTATAGGAAAAAGTCAAAAATATTGTATTTTTTTTTTTTTCAAAATTGTGGGTCTTTTTTTATAGCGCAAAAAATAAAAACTGCAGAGGCGATCAATACCACCTAAAGAAAGCTCTATTTGTGGGGGAAAAAAAGGACATAAATTTCATTTGGCTGCAGCGCAATTGTCAGTTAAAGTAACGCAGCACCGTATCGCAAAAAATGGCCTGATCGGGAAGGGGGGTAAATCCTCTGGAGGGTTAATATATAAAAAAAAGATTCTAAATATAAAAATAAATTAAAATATATAATAGGCTTTGATTAACTCTATGGGGCTTTGAATTGTGGAGCTGCAAAGGTGTGACAAAGCCCCATCACCTTTTGTTTTACAGGGAAATGATGATGTATTTTTAGTAAGGGTATATTTTGAGTTAATAACAAATGCTATTGTATGATAATAGCTCCTGTCTAGCTACCAAGCATTGGTGCCTTAAAGGATAAGTTCACTTTTTCCACAAAAATAATTAATGCACATTTTTTTGCCTGTAGGAGCCTGTAAAGCATTGCACCAGCGATCAGCAGATCACTGATGCTACGCAGGTCTCCTGCAGATTTGTCAGTATATCTGCTGACCCGTACGGTATGTATGAGCATACTGACAGGAACAGTCATTGGACTGCAATGACAGGAAGATTTCACTGAAAACTACAAGCCGACAGCTGCTAAGGCTTTCAAGACTTGTGGTGCATTCATTCACGGAACTCTGTGAATGAATGACGCAGCCATGTGGGCGGAGCCCCGCACGGCCACGCTGGTCTCAAATCTGACATAGTACAGGGAACTTTTTCCAGTACTTCTGTCAGAGGGGGGGCGGGCAGTGGGCAGCGGCTGCAGCACTGGGAACATGTTACATGTTCCACCCTAAAAATGGTTGGAATTTGTAACATCTTCCCAAAAGTGAACTTATCCTTTAAAGTGATATTAAAGGCAGATATATATTTTTTGTAAATAACAAACATGTTATATGGCAATGGTTTTGTACAGAAGAGCCACCTCTTCTCGGATCCCCCACTTTCGCTCCTGGCCCCTCTCTTCTGCCGAGTGACCCCATAGCAAGCAGCTTCCTATGAGGGCGCCCGAGCAGGCTCTCTTCCATGATCCTGCTCTCTCCTCATTGGCTCACTGGCTGTGATTGACAATAGCAGAAGCCAATGGCTCCCGCTGCTATCTGGGACCTGGGAGAGCCAAGGCTCCTGTGCACATCGCAGGATCGGAATCAGGCTCAGGTATGCATTAGAGGGGGCTGCTGCACATAGAAGGTTTGTTACCTTTATGCATTGAATGCATGAAAGTAAAAAATCCTGAGCCTTTTCAACCACTTTAAAGTTTTATATTAATATTCAAGGACACTTATCTGCATAATTTTTAACCGTTTCCATACCGGGCACTTTTACCCCCTTCCTGCCCAGGCCATTTTTCAGGTTTCAGCGCTCTCACACTTTGAATGACAATTGCGCGGTCATACAACATTGTACCCAAACTAACATTTTATCATTTTCTTCACACAACTAGAGCTTTCTTTTGGTGGTATTTAATCACCGCTGGGTTTTTTATTTTTTGCTAAATTAACAAAAAAAGGCAGAATATTTTGAAAAAAAAAACACGTGTTTTCTTTGTTTCTGTTAAAAAAGTTTGCAAATAAATAATTGTTCTTCATAAATTTAGGCCGAGATGTATTCTGCTACATGTCTTTGGTGAAAATAACCCAAATTAGGATGTATTATTTAGTCTGTAGGAAAGTTATAGAGTTCACAAACTATGGTATAGATCTGAATATTGATCAATCCTGAAGTACTGACAGCCAATCTAATTTCTTGAGGTCCAAGAATGTCAGAACAGTACAGATATCCCCAAATGACCCCTTTTTGCAAAGTAGACAGTTCAACGTATTTCATAAGAGGCATGGCAAGTTTTTTTAAGTTGTATTTTTTTTGTCATAGTTTTTCAAAAATTTTAAAAATGATTTTCACAATTTTTTTTTTTTTTTTACATACTGTCACCAGTGCAGTACAGCGTCATCATATAACTGGCATGGTGGTGATCAGGGACACTGACTGGTGACAGTATGAAAAAAAAATATATACAATTTTTTTTTTATTATTATTATTTTTAATTCTTTATTACTTTTTTTTTTTTTACTATTTTTTTTTCATATTTCACTATGACCAAAGTAGTACAATGTTACCATAGTAAGGAAGTGATCAGTATTTTTTTTTTTACACAATTTGCTTATAGCAAAGAATTACTTTGCTATAAGCAAGCATTTACCTGAATGACATCGATTCATTCAGGGTTTTTTTTTTTTTTTTCGTGCTTAGCTGTGATTTGGCCACAGCTAATCACATGACACAGCTGGGCTGTGATTAGCCTGGCTTGTGCATGTGATCGCTGTGACCAATCACAGCTACACACACTAGTATACAATGGATGGCATGAATGAAGCCATCCATTGTATACAACTGTCATGTGACCTGCTGTGATTGGTCACAGCAGGTCACATGGTATCGGCAACGGGGCCAGTACTCAGATCTGTCATCGGCCGTGTCCGAGGTACACGGCTGGTGACTGATCGCACCACTCTGCAGGTGTGCAAACTGCGCATGCCCGGGAGGACGCCATATGGCGTCCACCCGGAACACTAAGGGATTTTGCCGGCCGCCATTCGGCCATTGGCCGGGCGGCTAATAGTTAAGTGTCTATACACCAAGTTTAACACATGCCCTTCACCACCGACCATCAAGATAAATATCCAGTCATCAATGTAATCAACACTCCCCCTTGTGCAGCTTTAATCTGATGTTTAGAAAAGCACTCACCTACTCCAATATCTCTCGCTTACACAGTATGTCATAAATGATTGAATGTGTGAACTACAGTCCTCCATTTCTTGGGCGATTATGAATTTCCAATAAGTAGGTAATATGAAAAGCCTTCAAAGGCTGCCCAAACCATTCTGCATTTGGAAAGGAACTTATGACCACATGTCGAGTAGGCTATATGCTTTCTCTGTTGGCTGTCCAACAGTAAAAAAGTATTCCTTCAATCAAATGGAATTGTTGGTGGTGGATGTCTTCAGTACATGAATATATATCTCTTGCTGTACCTGTCAGTGCTTATGATGCTTTGTCCTGCTCCTTTCACCCTTTACTGTAGCCTCCAAGTCACTTATGAACGTGGGAACAAGCTGTGAAACATTTCCTAGCAGTCCTGTTTTGGCATTTACTCCTGCTTCAGGTCTACTCTATGCACTTTTTTCTCTTTGCATGCTAGTTTGTTTTGCCCATTACAGTGTCCCTTTATAGTGCAAAAAGCATTTTATAGAATAAAAACTTTAACATCTTCTGTCCTCTGAATTTAAACATTAATTTCACGTTTGCCATTTTAATATAGATTACCAGTTGCAGTGTTACTTAGTTATCCACTATGGGTTTGTCACAATAAGGAAGATTTGTGCATATGTGGCCCTCCATTGCCATTTAAAGTTATTTTGCCTATGCAGGGCAGAATAAAAGGCTCTTTTTTACATAATTCTCCAGCTGACCCCTCATTCCCCCCCAGCATGATATACATTTACTTTTCACTGCTCCCTCGGGAAAAGAAAGCCTTCTATAAATTTCAGACCTATAAAGCTCACACAGAGTTACGAACCCCCATGTGACAGTGCTGGTCCACAAGCAAAGTCACATAGTAGAAGGGAAGTGACTCGTGCCCACTGTTGATGCCAAGTTTTTTGTTTCACTCTGATGAAAAGAGCACCAGAGATTGAAGGAAAAGTGACTATATTGTGCTGGGGAGCGGAGGAATTAAGTGAATCTCTGAATGGGTAAAGAAAAGAGTTTCTTTTTTACCTTGATTTTAGCATCAGCCAATGTCTTATCAGATTTAAATTTGATGCACATTTTAAAATGTATTTGTTGGCAGTCTCCCAAACAGTGAGGACCCCTGGAGGTCTTCGTATGTCACATACCACACTATGGCGTAATGCCAGTTTGCCTAAGTGCATTTATCCTGTCATGCTCAATCGTTAAATATAGGTTTGGCGGCCAGGTTTGACACCCTTGGACTGAGTCATTGTTCTCTTGCCATAATCCAGTCTTATGCACAATACATATCAGTTAAAAGCATGTGTAGGGCAATCTTTTGTAACACCGTGCGAGTCCAGCATTTCATGAAGTTTTTTTTTTTTTGTTTTTTTTTTTGGGGGGGGGGGGGGGGGGGATTCCCAATTGATCTCCTTGGTGATCAAAAGTAACTCTGTGTCATGGTTCACTAGATTTCAGCTGTAAAAATAATTATTATAATACTATCTGGAAAAAAAAAAAAAGAAAAGTATAAATGTCAGATTCATTATTTATATTCAGATGCCATTAATAGCAGAATCTCTGACTGCTGCAAAGACCTTTTTACTTGTGTGACAAGGGGTGCAGCATGCCTGTTAAACAGACAGCGAGCTGTACACACAGGCCGAAAGTCAGCTGGTTCCTGCCAAACCTACCGTTTTTGTCTGATTTTTGCCTGTGTGTACCCAGCTCTATTCCTGTGATTCCTCCTCCCCTCACTTGGTTTTTCATGCATGGCCTCAATAACGAATAGGGTGGCTCGGGAAGTGGGAGTAGCCCAGGTTGTACTTACCTGTTTGCGTTTATAACTTTAGCTTTAGCTGTTTGTTTTTCTGGATCTGCTGATCATTTTTGCATGCAGTTGTTAACTAAAGATTACCTCTGCTTGTGTCTTTAACGTATACATATTTTAATGTTGTTTAGGTTTATAACCTGTTTAGTTTTAGCTGCAGTGAATTCAGTTGTCCAGTCTCAATACATTTACTACTGAAAGTATACAAACACGAAAGATTGTTTAGCATGAATGAATGTAGCCATTGCAGACAATGTCTGACTACATCTGCAAAGATCTGCTCCGAGTGCAGTAATACTCTGCACTATTCATAGGTCATGACCCATACTTTAGCTCATCATCCTTAGTCACGACACTAAGATTAATGAATGGCGTATGCGGCATATCAAGAGATGTAGAATATTCTGCATCACTGTTTTTCCTCTTGCTGCAGCTCCCATTGCATCTCCTATCCCGCTTGAGGAGAAAAGAACAGAAGAACTTCGGAGCAATCCTTTTGCCCCTTCTGCTCTTGCTGCAGATCTGATTTCACAGCTTTCTTTCAGATGTCATTTTGTGTCATTGTAAAACTTCCTAACATACAACTTATCATACTAAGGAGTTTGTTGGGTTCAACCACTTGGTGGAACAATGAGCTTGAAGTAAAACCTCATCAGATGCGCAACCTTTATGCACATATGTATATATGTATATCCCCTGGATGTCTGCTGAAAATCCCCTTCAGAACCGGATCAGCCTGGTCTGGTCACAAACCGATATGAATCCCCTTCCCCTGGACAGTTTGCAGCACCTATGGCTCCACTCCGGAATGGGCGGAAGGTATCCGCTCACAAGGAAGGGAAGATGGAGATGACAGATAACCACCCTCCAGCGGTGCAGCCTCTGACGTGAGGATGTCTGACGTTCACAGAGTGACGTAACCACGAGCGGAGAACCGTGGAAGAATCCTCCTCAGCTTCCTGCTGGTGATTCTACCGTTACTGCAACCGCCTCAGCCAGCCGACGTGGCTGCTCTCACCATTTAAAACCAGTGCCCAGGGGAAGGGGAATCATATCGGTTTGTGACCAGACCAGGCTGATCCAGTTCTGAAGGGGATTTTCAGCAGACATCCAGGGGATATACATATATACATATGCGCATAAAGGTTGCGCATCTGGTCAGTGCGTATTCCTAACAATTTCACGGCACGTCACCAGGATGTTGTAAGGAGCACCTACAGTTGTGTTCAAAATAATAGCAGTCAGACATCACTAACCTGATCAATCACTGTTTCTGGTAGAAATTATATTTCTACATGGCAAATAATTTACTAGCAGGTGTAGTAGAGTAATAGAAATCCAACAGACCCAACAGTCATGACATGCATGCTGCTGATTCTGTGTAATTGAATCACTAATTGAAAGGGGCGTGTTCAAAATAATAGTAGTGTGGAGTTCTATTAGGTCATTTATTCTTTGAAAAACAGGTGGCAATTATTGCCCTTATTTAAGGAAGGAAGGCAGCAAATGTTATACATGCTAGTTACAGTGCATTTCTCTCTGAAATTCTGAGGAAAAATGGGTCGTTCCAGACATTGTTCAGAAGAACAGCGTACCTTGATTAAAAAGTTGATTGGAGAGGGGAAAACATATAAAGAAGTGCAGAAAATGATAGGCTGCTCAGCTAAAATGATCGCAAATGCTTTAAAATGGCAACCAAAACCTGAAAGACGTGGAAGAAAGCGAAAAACTATCATTCGAATGGATAGAAGAACAGCCAAAATGGCAAGGATTCAGCCAACAATCAGCTCCAGGAAGATGAAAGAAGGTGTAAAGTTACCTGTGAGTACTGTTACAATTAGAAGACGCCTATGTGAAGCCAAGCTATCTGCAAGAAGCCCCCGCAAAGTCCCACTGTTGAAAAAAAGACGTGCTGAAGAGGTTACAATTTGCCAAAGAGCACATTGACTGGCCTAAAGAGAAATGGCGAAACATTTTGTGGACTGATGAAAGTAAGATTGTTCTTTTTGGGTCTAGTGGCCGGAGACAGTTTGTCAGACGACCCCCAAACACTGAATTCAAGCCACAGTACACTGTGAAGACAGTGAAGCATGGTTGTGCAAGCATCATGATATGGGGATGTTTTCTCATACTACAGTGTTGGGCCTATTTATCGCATACCAGGGATCATGGATCAGTTTGAATACATCAGAATACTTGAAGAGGTCATGCTGCCCAAACACACCAGTAAACGTGCAACATCTTGGTTCCAGACCAACAAGATTGACGTTATGGAGTGGCCAGCCCAATCCCCGGATTTTAATCCAATAGAAATCTTGTGGGGTGACATCAAAAATGCAGTTTCTGAGGCAAAACCAAAAAATAGAGAGAAGAACTGTGGAATGTAGTCCAATCATCCTGGGCTGGAATACCTGTTCACAGGTGCCAGAAGTTGGTTGACTCCATGCAACAGAGATATACAGCAGTTCTCAGAAACAGTGCTTATACAACGAAATATTCATTAAGTGATTCAAAGGAAAGCAAAATCTTCAAACATTTTTCAGTTTATATAGTGAATGTTTGAGTTTGTAAAGAAGAATACAAACACTGCGATTTTTTTGAACAGTCTAATATTCACTTTTCTTAAAGTTTTTTAGAGGAACAACACAAATTTGATATATTTTTCTTCATGTTTCGATTTGGAATAGAATGTGTAGTGTTCCCAATGCATTTGTGTGTATGGAAATAAAAGCTATTAGAAGGATTTTGAGCTTTATTCACTTTTTTCAACACACTGCTATTATTTTGAACACAACTGTACCTGAGATCCTACTCAGATGAATCATCACTTTTAAGCACTATATATGAACTGTTTTTCAGGACTATATACAGTTATTTACACCCAGCACACTGTCAGTGCTCACTATTATCACTTTTAGGGTTTATGTCGTGCACTTTTGTCACTTTACAGTCACATCTGTGTATCAGTGCAAATTATGTGTGAATATTCAGTTGGTCATGTGATACTCTAGCGCCGCACCTCTTTGTTTTCTTGATCATTTTGAAGGTTGTTTGGTTTGCCTTTTTGCTGCTTTGGCTGCTTGTGATTTTCTAGCGCTCACTTATTTATATTTTTTTTTTTGAAGTAAAACCTGCCTTCAGTGCTTTGCTTCATCATACTGTTAGGAGATTTGTTCTCATGTAAGTAACCTTGTGTGATCAGACAAGTGTATGTATTAACCGCTGACATACTGGACATAGACATAAGGCACAGTCCTTTTCCTGGTGTGTCAACTGAGCCTATAGTGTGGGATGTTATGACAGGTGCTTTCGGTGAGCCATCATTTCTGCTACGTATCTCATGTGTGACGGACTCATCTATGCCAAAAAGAGTGTTTTGAAGATTGTTTAGGAATAGGGTGTGTGTGTGTGTGTATACACGTGTGTGTGTGTGTGTAATCCTCACTGTGCACGTTGACGTGAAATGTCTTTCTCTGCAGGATCAGGAGATGATCTAATGTCTATGGGACACCAACAGACACCACTGAACAGAGTTGTAAAGGAGCCAACAAGTAAAGGTGAGCATGTGCTGAATGGAAAAAGCAATAAGTTTGCTTTAGGCTTCACTCAATTCCTCTAGATCAGTGGTTCTCAAGCTTTGTGAAACCTGGTAAATACTTTCTAAAATCCTCCATGCCCCCGCTGAAGAAAAACGTTTATACTCCTAGATTCTATTATTTAACAGCTAGAATTATGTAGATAGATAGTATTACATAGAGTATACGGTGCAGCAGTCAGAACTATGTAAAGGACAGCACACCTACTACTACACATACTGTACAACAGTGAAAGTGCAAGGGTGAGGACTATGTAATAGCACAGCACAGCTTTCAGAGTGCAATGGTCAGGAGTCAAATGTCCCCTTCTGTTGGAGATTAGTGTTACTTTCACTCATCATCTCCCCCCTACGCTGGTGGTCAGCATGCCCTCGCACACTGGCACATGGCGCTCCCATGCACACTGGTGCTCAGTGTGCCACCTTATGCATCTGTGGTCAGCATGCCCTCCGTACTCTGATGGTCAGCATGTACCCCCCCCCCCCTCCCCTGTACTCTGGTGTTTAGCGTATCCCTTTACCCTTATGGTCAGTGTGCCTCCCTTACCCTTGTGGTCAGTGTGCCTCCCTTACCCTGGTGGTCAGTGTGCCTCCCTTACCCTTGTGGTCAGTGTGCCTTCCTTACCCTGGTGGTCAGTGTGCCTCCCTTACCCTTGTGGTCAGTGCGCCTCCCTTACCCTGGTGGTCAGTGCTCCTCCCTTACACTTGTGGTCAGTGTGCCTCCCTTACCCTGGTGGTCAGTGTGCCTCCCTTACCCTGGTGGTCAGTGTGCCTCCCTTACCCTGGTGGTCAGTGTGCCTCCCTTACCCTGGTGGTCAGTGTGCCTCCCTTACCCTGGTGGTCAGTGTGCTTCCCTTACCCTGGTGGTCAGTGTGCCTCCCTTACCCTGGTGGTCAGTATTCTTTCCTTACACGGGTGGTCAGTGATATCCCTGCTAGCTTCTTGATATCTTTACACTGTGAAAGCTGTCAAGCTGCGACCCAGTGGGAAGCACTGTTGTGAATCATAAGATTTCTTGGTCCGGCCTCTCCATCTTTTAGTTCCATTGTGTATTATTTTATCCACATATTATAAATGTCCCAGACTTCAGGCTGCTATACAGGTCCAGGGTTGTGATCTGTTCTTATGGCACTTGGACAGGACCAGTAGCATGGGCATGGTATGACGGTTTCACTGTACTTATACACAAGTTGTTTTGAAGGCCATGATTATACGACAATCTACACATTTTGTGTTTTTTTCCCTAGGAGTTCCTTCTTCCCTACCTGTGCCTTCCCTTTCTCCCAGGGCTTTTTCAGCATCAATTGTCTCTTTTTTTCACAGGTTGCAGAGCCACCACCTGATTCTCTATTCATATTTTTAAAAACAATTTTTTGCCAGGTGGCTGTTTGGACATCTGCTGATGCATTTTTGAGCTGTAAGATGCTTCTGCTATCAACTGTTCTTCTTTTTTTTTTTTTCAAAGCATCTGTTTACCTGAATTTGACTTGATATCAACCACTTGTAGTCCCCTGTGCAGTAGAGCTTAGACTAGGATAAGGAGAAGCACCACAAGTAGCTAGTCAGTTGTGCTGCAGTACCTGTGGGCTTACAGGGAATGTGTTGATAAGTGGAAAGAGGAGGGTGACAAAGAAGTAAGCTCATCAGTCTGCTGCTTCTCTTTTCAATGTCCAGTTACAGCATTGGGGAGGGACAAGACCTGTAAACGGTACTCAAATGCAGCAGGGAAAAATAAATCCTACCTACCAGACAGGACAGTGCTGTGTGGGTAAATTATGTAAATCTGTGGATGGACAGAAATACAGGCAAAGCAGCTCCCTTCTATGCATTTAGCAGTTTACCTGGAGTTCAGCTTTTAACACATTATAGAAATATGAATACTTTTTTGAAGATATGTCAAACAATGTCTGTGTCAGAAATAATTAGATGCATTTAGGTCATTTCAAAACTGGTAATTTCTTGCAGATGGTCTTTCAGCTGACCACCCCCTGCACTTGCCTCCAGTGCTCTTTTTAAACCTTCCATATGATGATCAGCAGGAGATGATGTTTCAGAAGGAAGACACTGCCCCCACACATGTAAGATACTGCCTGTGAAGATTGACATTTATCCAGGTCAAAGTATAGCTAGTAGTAGCCTGTCTTTCAAATAGACTTTTTCTGTAATGTTGAAAAGGCTTGGATAAGCTACGAAACCCTCCTTGACATTACAGACCATTTCCAGTTGAGTGTGACTAACTACTACTAGCTATACCATGTAAGACGATATGGGGGGTTTGGGGTTCATTTGATAAAACGTTGCATTAGAAGGTATGTTTGTTTATTCTGTAGAAGGGTGTGCTCCATAATTTAAGAGTATATATCCTGCTCCTTTTAACATATTTGTGCTTTACAGACCAGTGCTTAGCAGGAATGTATAGTTAATTTGTACTAATTTTCTTTATTTACTATGGACAGGACTAAAGTATATTTTTTTTGTCTTTTATAGAGAAATATGGTTTGTAATATATTAACACATGCTTAAAAGACTGTTTATATTAACTTGATCTCTTTTACATACATATCTTATAAATCTCAAAAGGATTACCAGCCTAAAAACTAGGTGTCAGTACATCATTTCTTGGCAGTCGTGACTTGTTCAGTTTTACATAATACTATCATTTGTGTTTGGCAATTATAGTACTAAACAGAGGCTGCCTGTCATCTTCAGGTTACAGTTGCACCTGCAGAACTATCTGCAGAGCACTGTTCATCAACAGATTGTAGGGGGTTAATGTAGATATTTTGTATTAGTGATACAGCAAGAACTGATGTTACACAGAGTTTTCAAAGCTTTCAATCAAGTTTAAATTTCTTTACCATACATCCCAGGACACGGGGTATCTTAATATCCATTATGATAGGTTATGCTACCACCTTCAGATGACTAGACACTGGAAAAAAAAACAGAAAATCCCCATCCAGGCATAACCCCTTCCAGTTAGGCATAGTTTCAGTTTCAGTTTTGCTAGGTGACGGTCCTGTATGTGCAGTCTCTTCACTAGATCTGGGAGACGAGCTCATCTGGATCCATTGACTATGGCTAAATTTGCCAACAGCAATGGTACTTGGACCCCACTTTGGACGTGCGGGGACAGTCTGTAATATGCTCTTTCAACAATGGATCCTGCGTTAAGGGACCCTGTCTGGTGCACTGGTAGGGTGCTTTTACAGGTCCAGGACAGTGATCCCCAGACCAGGGAGTTGTGTCCTTGAAGGCTCTAGAAGTGTGACAGCCAAGGTGGGTGAAGTTTGAACCCCCCGAGGTTTGAACCCCCCCGGGGTCCTGTGACATGGACTGGTGAATGTCCGGGTTGTGGATCCCTCAGGTGCCTTTAACCTATAGTAGTAACAGTTATACCATTTAAATCCTCTGTGGTCCTGTTGCTGTAATATATATGAATTGTGCCCACTCTTGCTGTGTTCTGCTTGTGTATACTGTGTGTATGTGTATACCTCCTTGAGCGCTGCTAGGTTGCAGTGGTGTTTAGGGGCAGACTGGAACATTCTGGCATCAAAATACAGGGGCAGGATGCTTTCCTAGTGCTCCATTCCCCTTCTGTGTGGTGCAGGCACAGTGCCATTAGTGGGGTGGAGCTGAGTATCTGTCATCGTCTTGGAGAATCTCACTATGAACTGGAACTCCCAGTAGTCACTGCCTATCATGGGGGGACACAACAAGTATACAAGCTTGTTGGCTTACACACTGCATTGCTTTTTACCTTGGGGAGTGGATTCTGGTGCAAGATAGGGAGGTTCTTGCCCAGGATACAGCCTACCCAAGAAAGTGAGGGGTATAATCACAGGTGTTTTTACACATGGTCATCTCTTCTGACTCTGGACTGTTTCTCATAGAGTACATACAGCATCCACTCCCCAAGGTAAACAGCTATGCAGTGTGTAAGCCAACCAGCTTGTATACTTGTGTGTGTGTGTGTGTGTGTGTGTGTGTGTGTGTGTGTGTGTGTGTGTGTGTGTGTGTGTGTGTGTGTGTGTGTGTGTGTGTGTGTGTGTGTGTGTATGTATATGTGTGTATGTATATGTGTGTATATATATATATATATATATATATATATACAGGTGAAACTCAAAAAATTAGAATATCGTGCAAAAGTTCATTTATTTCAGTAATGCAACTTAAAAGGTGAAACTAATATATGAGATAGACTCATTACATGCAAAGCAAGATAGTTCAAGGCGTTATTTGTCATAATTGTGATGATTATGGGCTTACAGCTCATGAAAACCCCAAATCCACAATCTCAGAAAATTAGAATATTGTGAAAAGGTGCAATATTCTCGGCTCAAAGTGTCCCACTCTAATCAGCTAATTAAGCCATAAAACCTGCAAAGGGTTCCTGAGCCTTTAAATGGTCTCTCAGTCTGGTTCAGTAGGAATCACAATCATGGGAAATACTGCTGACCTGACAGTTGTGCAGAAAACCATCATTGACACCCTCCATAAGGAGGGAAAGCCTCAAAAGGTAATTGCAAAAGAAGTTGGATGTTCCCAAAGTGCTACATCAAAGCACATTAATAGAAAGTTATGTGGAAAGGAAAAGTGTGGAAGAAAAAGGTGCACAAGCAGCAGGGATGACCGCAGCCTGGAGACCATGGGATTACTGTGCTTGATTGGCCAGCAAACTCGCCTGACCTGAACCCCATAGAAAATCTATGGGGCATTGCCAAGAGTAAGATGAGACATGAGACCGAACAATGCAGAAGAGCTGAAGGCCCCTATTGAAGCATCCTGGTCTTCCATAACACCTCAGCAGTGCCACAGGCTGATAACTTCCATGCCACGCCGCATTGAGGCAGTCATTTCTGCTAAAGGGGCCCAAACCAAGTACTGAGTACATATGCATGCTTATAATTTTCAGAGGTCCGATATTGTTCTATGTACAATCCTTGTTTTATTGATTGCATGTAATATTCTAATTTTCTGAGATTGTGGATTTGGGGTTTTCATGAGCAGTAAGCCATAATCATCACAATTATGACAAATCACGGCTTGAACTATCTTGCTTTGCATGTAATGATTCTATCTCATATATTAGTTTTACCTTTTAAGTTGCATTGCTGAATAAATGAACTTTTGCACGATATTCTAATTTTTCGTGTTTCACCTGTGTGTGTGTATATATATATATATATATATAATATATATATATATATATATATATATAAGCATATTGAAATACATTTTTCACCACATGTGAATAACAACTCATGCAATCTATATACAGTATACAAAGAAACCAAAACAAATAAGTTCAGAAATTAAGTTATGTGGAATAAAATAGAATGACACGAGGAAAAAGTATTGAGCACGCTAACTGAAATTTATTTAATACTTTGTACAAAATCCTTTGCTGGCAATGTAAACTGAAGTGAACTGAAGACGGACATAGAAGCTGATGTCACTTGAATCAGTATTCATCAGTTTTTCTTAGAACAAAATGTGACTGAATGGGCTATGCCCTAAGGACCCTAAGTGGTCAGTCAAATTTCAGTACGGTAGGTATAGAAAAGAATCGCCCACCTTTTAAAATAATTAAATTTTTTTGCTTTGCAGCCTGAAATTATGACAGACACAGTTCTTGTATTATCTAGCTGTGCAACTTATAACATTCAAGTAAAAGATATAACACCAACATGTCAGAAAAACATAAAAAAAAAAAAATCAAAAACAGAAACACTGAGTTGGAAAAAGGATCACCCCCTTGTATAAGTATTTTGTTGAACCAATGTCCTGATACCTTTCAGATGTAACTCTATGGTATTATCCTTTTGTTTGTGGCTTACAATCTCCAGATAATCAGCTGATATTAATGCCATGGCTTCTCCATTAGATTGTCTGCCGTACCTTTTTTGCTCTTGAAAAAGTGCATGTGCAACTTAATTGTTTGAAATAGGCAACACCTTTATTCTCCTATCTTGTTTTAAAGAAATGAAGCCCTTAATTTTTTTTTTCCCATCTCCTACATACTGCAGGATGAAGAAAATTTGTTAACTGTAATGGACTTGGATGAAGAAGAATTTTTGCAACAAATCCCAGGTATAGAGGAGAACCTTCCTTCTTCAACTGATCTACACCTCATGGCAGCCTCTAAAAAGAATGCATTGTCCAGAGAACTGCTTCCCAACACAGGTGACCACTTCTAGATGGACAGCTTTTAGCAAATTCATATGTAGGCCATAAATTAAATGTTTGTGCAATAAATAGGTTTTCTATGCCCATACCACTGATCTGCAGCTTCTTATGTAATGATGTGGCAGTTTTCCATCTTCATGTTCTTTGGAAGCTGTAGAGAGCCATTCATTCTGCCACTAAGTCCAGTGTTTGCAGTGATAAAGTGACTGTCAAAGGGCTTTTGTTCACTTCTAGTGAATTTTTCATTGCCATAAAAGTTAATGAAAATGCTAAACTGTCTTGAAGCAGGTCAGAAGGAGGTCAACTGCAGGTCAAATCCACCTGTCTGTGATTTCTGAGTCATTTCAGAAGTGTCTCCAACTAATGCCATCGCCACAAGCCTAAAGCCCTTCAAAGCAGGCCCAAAGAGTGACATTCAGATGCTGCATTACTAAAAAAGTTGTTACACAGGCCCTTATACCCAGTACCACTTTCAGGAGATTGTACATATTTTCCCATTCCTCTGATTAGGTATTTTTAGTAAAAAAAAGGGCTTCTGTAAAATACTGGCTTGCTATATCAGCTTCATATAGATCCCCACTCCTGCTAGAGCAAGGTTGATACACACGTAGCAATGCAGACATGATGGGAGATCAAAATTGCAACAGCAAAGCTGTTTATTAATTTGTGCCAAAATGCCTCTAACCAATGCTAGATCCTTCATCGAGCTTAACAAATGTATAGTTGAAGGATCAGTAAAATACTGTCCATCATACACTATTTGTTAGTAAACATTTATAAACAAGGCAAATGGTATGAGAGAACAAGAACATGAAAGTGAACAGTGTTCTATTACCAGCGTAGCTGTTTAGGTACAGTATTCAGAGGCTTTTCCACATAGTATGCCAAAGGCCCTATTCCTGCTTTGTAGCTCGAAGCTCGAAAATGTTTAACATCCAAAATCCCATGTATTACCATGATGGCTGTTCACATTTAAGTACTCAAACAACTTTAAGTTCCAAAAGCTGCTTGAGCTACTTTTGAGGCACGTGTTGACCCCATAGACCTGAAGTCTATGGGGTCAAAACGTGCCTCAAAAGTAGCTCATGCAGCTTTTGGAACTTAAAGTTGTTTGAGTACTCAAATGTGAACAGCCATCATGGTAAAACTCTGAAAACAATCGTTTTTGAGTTTAAACATTTTTTTTAAACGATAGCCAGACCACCACAAACAAAATATCATAAGGGAAAGAGCTCAGAATTTTCCACGCAGGGAGAGTTACATAATAAAGCAAGGCAAATAACATGGGTCAAAGTTCAAGTCCTTAGGGGAGGGATAAATATTGAGATACAGTAAAGGTCCAAAGATCGATGGCACCAACAACATTTAAAATACAGTGAAGATCAAAAGGGCAAGATAGCCGACATTGGAATGGTCCACCCCAGCAATAGACCGGGGAGTAATAAGGAGTCAGTCAATGCCAAATCAAACGTTTTCAGGCATTAGACCCTGTTAAGAACTAGTCTCCTCCCCCTAGTTCTTTTGATTGTCTAAAACAAAAACACTTGAAGCTTAAATACACATTTAAATAGCTTGTAGTCCGCATCTTAGATGCTCATATACAATGACAAAAATACCTAAATTGAAAAGTGGGAAAAGGCCTGAAAATTGCTCTGCTCAGGTGTAAATGCAGCATAAAAGAAGAAGTCAATCTACAGTATTTCCCTGAACAGTTTCCATACCATGCACAGCATACTTGCACATTGTGGCAGCGTTACCTCCTAGTCTGCTCTCCTACACTGATGCAAGGTCCTCACTTCCCCTCATCTGTGAATGAGGTATTGCCCTCACACACGGGCTCAATATTGGCCCTCCACCTGGATCGTGTTTTTTTAGCAATTTACAGGTGCCAGGCTCACTACACTGCCCGTGTGCCACAGTCAGTGTGCAATGTGAAAAAAAAAAAAATGCTAGCAGAAAGGGAAATATTTTTTTTAATCTTTTAAGAAGAGAAATATAAAGTCTTTTGTGCCATAAATCTGTACCTGATAACAATTATTTAATGATTCTTTTTGATTAGTTTCACATTAAACAAAAGTTGCACTTGATTACATTTGTACTTTGTGATGTCAGCTAATATAGAAATAACTAGAACTGCATGGTGTGACGAGTGAATTGAATGTGTCACTTCTGCTTTAATTGTCCTACTTCTTCAGTTTCTGAATAACATTATAGAATAGAAAAAAGAAGTTGCTCATAGCAACAGATTCTAGTTTTTAATCCAAACATATTTTGCTGAATTGAAAATTACTTCACTACCAATTTTCAACCCTCTGTTGTAACCTTATTGTATCCGCAGAACTTCTGTATTAGCTGTAGCATGTGAGCAAGTACAGCAAGCAGTATGTCATTTTTCAATCAAGTAATTTGTATGGAAATAATTCATAGCAAGAAAAGCAATAAAATGAATACCCTGCAGCCTGCAACAATACAGTGCTCAGCATAAATGAGTACACCCCAACAGATTTGTCAGAAAACCTTTACTTTCCTTATAGAATCAACATTTTCTATGGGACACTATACTACAAAATACTCCCACAAATGCGGGCCATTGATTGCAAACAAGATTTGTTAATCTGTACACAAAAATTTTCATAACAAATTCATTCAAGACCATGTTGGAAAAATGAATAAACCCCAATAAAAAGTCTTAGGAGCAAAGCTAAATTTTAGCCAAAAAAATCCTAATTAACAAGAATTCAACAGGTGAGTCTAATTATTCATTAAACCAGTGTCCAGCAGACAGTCGATTATAAAAGGGCGTCACTTAACAAAGAAAACCTCTTCCCATTTCATGCTGTCAGCAATGACACCACATGGAAAAGGAATGTCACAAGGCCTGAGAAAGAAAATAATTTCTTTACACAAGAAAGGTGAAGTCTACAAGAAGATCAGCAAAGCTTTACTTATCAGTCAGAATACTGTAGCAAAAGTGATACAAAAATTTAACAAGGATGGAAATGCAACCATCTCACAGAGATGTCCAGGCCATCCGTGGAAGTTAACACCTCAACAGGAGCATCTTCTGATGAGAAGGGTTGAAGAAAATCGCCATGCAAGTTCACTGCAGTTAGCTAAAGAAGTAGAAAGCCAAACTGGAGTGATTTTTCCTGTGACACAATACAGCGTAGACTACAGAAGAATGGCATGCATGGGTGTCGTCCACAACGGATGCCTCTCCTAAAGCCCATACACATAAAAGCCCACCTTGAATTTTCCAGGGCCCATGCTAAAAAGAAGAAGACTACTGGGACTCTGCACTCTGGAGTGATAAGACCAAGATAAATGTTTTTGGAACTGATTGCTTCAAAATTGCATGGCGTCGCAAAGGTAAGGAGTACAAAGAAAAATGCATGGTGCCTACAGTGAAACGTGGTGGTGGCAGTGTCCTTCTGTGGGGCTGCATGAGTGCTGCTGGTGTTGGGGAGCTGCATTTCATTGATGGTATCATGAATTCACAGGTGTACTACTCTGTATTGAAAGAGAAGATGCTACCATCACTCTGTGCCCTTGGTCGTCATGCACTTTCCAACATGACAATGATCCAAAACAGACATTTAAGGCCACTTGCATTTCTGAAGAACAGGCTGAAAGTGATTCAGTGGACAAGTATGTTTCCTGATCTGAACCCAATCGAACACCTATGGGGAATTCTGAAGAGACACGTTGAGCATCACTCACCATCCTGCATCCAGGCTTTAAAAGAGGTTGTTCTTGAAGAATGGAAAAAAAAAAGATGTTGCAATTCCATGCCTAGAAGACTTGGTGCTGTCCTTACAAATCATGGAGGTCATGCAAAATACTAGATGTAGTAGTTTTTGTTGTGGGGTGTATTCATTTTTGCAACATTTTGTAATCTAAGTTATATTATTAACCATACTTTCATTTAATGAGCCAAACAAATGTTCTATAAAACTCCAGTTTTGTAAAAAGTTTGGAAACTGTTCTTGTGTTCATTGAGCTATTGATTCAAGTCTTACTTTTCCAAAGGGTTGTACTCATTTATACTGAGCACTGTATATGACCCCCAGCAACAATAGATCCCCATTCAGCAACAATAGATACACTGCAGTAACAATATACCCCCCCAACTGACACATCCCCAGCAACAATAGATACCCCCTCCACAGCATATTTCCAACTTCCCCAGTAACAGATCCACTCCAGCAACAATTGACACCCACCAGCAACAACAGATCTCTCAGCATTGAGCATCAGTAGACCCGCCAGCAACAATAGACCCCTCCCTTTACAGTAGATAACTCCTAGCAACAATTGATCCCCCACCCAGTGACAGTAGATCCCCCAGAGCACGCCTTGCCATTCCATTCATTCGGTGCTGGAACTGCATTCTCCGCATTTTCACTGAAAAAAACTTCCTGATTAAAGGAGTTATTTTATTGATTGCCATGAGCTAAGTGTCCTCGTTTTCCTTTTCTCCTTTTTTTTAAATACATTGCCTTTATTTTGATTTTAGGGATTTATTCATCAGATATACTTCAGAGCCAACCAAGGTTAGAGGATGGCCACCCCGCCACTGTAAATGGTGTTTTACAGCCAGAGTGGACTGAAGAATCTTTTCCAAGAGTTTGGACACCTAGGGACATAGAAAACAATGACGCATTCTGTAGACTGAAAGAGATGGATGTCCAGCTAAGAGCCTTGCAGAATATGGCAGAGAGCATGGATAGAGACTTTGTCAATACCGAACTGGTAAGCAATAACACATTACAGCTAACTAGTACTGTATTTGGGGTTTAGGTCTGATAAATTTCAGCTGAGAAAGAACAGTAAGGCTTGCCAGAAGCAACCTCAATTTTGGGAGATTTGAAATGCTCGTAAATGGCATGACAACATTGAAGGTGCATAAATGTTAGCTGTTAACAGAGTTTAAGATTTTGGACATATTGTTTTATAATTTCTCTGTATAAACCACCATTTAACATACAAGGCTTGTCACCTAAAATCATGAGTTTAAAAAAAAATGGCCACAAAATATTTACTGGTGTTTGCTTACTTTTGTTGAGATGTCAAACATTGAATTCCTAATTTACACTTGCAGTTTAAGGGGGTGGGGGGTTAGTATAAACACACAGTTGAGCCTTGTTTTTCCTCCCTAACCTGCAAAGGAGATAAAGGGGGTGTACACATGCCATGGCTGGAATGTTAGGCATTGTGACACAATGCAAATTATCCCTTTATACTCAGCAAGTGGTGCCACCCATTGAGCATGAGGCGCTGACCCGAATGGGGCCACACCGCAACCTTGTGCAATGCACTTAGTTGTGGTGGAGGATTTTAGGAGTTAAAAACAGGCAGTGAGGAGGTGACATAATACATCCTTACCGCCTGTCAAACACCCTTTGAAGAGTGATCTGCCACAAGTGTAACTGATTCCTAAAAGTCCAATTTATAGCCAGCGTGAAGGACAGTTGGCACTACTGATTAGAGCCTGTTTTTGCAGGAAATTTGAATTATCAGGGTCAGTGTAAGGTACAGTTAAGTCATCTAAAAGTACACAATAAAAAAAAAAATACTAAGAGCCTTAAAAACATATGGGAAGAAACATAGCAGAATGTATTTATGTGACTGTCTACCTTTGTGATTTGTTGTTATGATGGCAGCTGGTCAATACGATAGAAAATCTGGCAACTGCAATGGACCAGACCCTAAAGAAGTCCATCGTTTTAGAGAGCCTGCTTTCCCAGGAAGTGGTAAGTGGCTTCCAGTAGAGTCTACCTAGCCTTGTGAAATAAGGGTTATCTTGTCAGCTGCTTTTTAATGTCTGGTCTTGTGGAATGTTTGTTTCAACACAAAAAAGGCTCCTACTTTGCATTCCGAGCATTTGTCCCTGGGCGTATACTACCCAAAATGTTCGCACTGCTAGGTGCCCTGTCCAGCCTCAGCGGCTGTCAGCCTTTCATAGGGTTTTTGACAGGCCACCGTCAGTGGGACCGGACAAGTCACCTGTTCCTCCATCGGCTAAATGCCCAGTGTGCATGGGGCCTAAAGAGGACTTATTTATTTGGAGTCTGTGAACAAGTTCCTTTGACTTTACTTGTTGTATGCTTGTCCCCACCTCTACCTATTCTGTGACACCTTGTCACCAGGACAGGAAAGAGGGGTAATCTCCCCAGTGCATACACAGACAGCAATAAGAGAATCCTTCCCAAAGTCCTACTCTTACCTTTGTCCAGATTCCTGTCTAATCAAAACTGTGCAACCCACAGGTAACTACTAATGCCTCCAGACAGCCCCTCAGTTCTTGTACACATGCATAGAAAAATGTAATGTGTTTCTATGAATAAGCCATCAAACAGTAAGGCAAATAATATGGAATGGAAATGAATGGGATACCAGGCTTTGTCTGTCTTAGTATTTCTGAGTCACAAACCAGATACAAATATATAAAGTATATTCCAAGTTGGAATTTCTCATCTCTATGCTGGTTTCAGGTCAGTAACTCAGGTATTGAAGCCAATGCATTAGCATGACAACCATGCAGCTAACATATTTATGGAGAGGTTAACATGGCAGCCTAACTGCTTGCTGCCCAGAGCCTGGGAGGCAAGCGGGTGTACCAGGATCATGGCTGCTTGTACCATAGGTTACGTGTAACTCTAAACTGATATCCTTTAACCTGTAAAAGCTTTTCAATTATTGCCTATGGACAGTTTTAATTACCGTAGTTGTTGCCATTTCACAGGCGTGTGCAATTTTACATCTTGAAATGTCTGGTATTTATTTACTTTTATATTTATTTTATATTTTAGCAACATTTGGATATTATATTGTGTTTGTGTATGCTAAAATTCATTTAAGTGTATTTTTTCCTGAAAATATGTGTTTGAGAAATGGCTGTGTAAATATTGTGTAGCATAAAAAAAATTGCAACAGCCACTATTTTATTCTCCAGGTCCTCTGCTTTCAGAAATGTATAATGTTTGGGAGTTCTAAGTAATTTTCTAGCAAAGAAAAAAAAAAAAAGGTTTTAACATGTACGTGAAAAAGTTTTAAAATTGCCCATGCATGTAGGTAAGTGTTTTAAATACTGGTCTCACAATACATGCACTTTAAGTCGGCATTTAACAAGAGTTGACTAAGTCCAGGTACCAAATCGGACACATGGAGAAAAGTTCAGGAACAAACTGTTTCTTCCTCTTGAGGGAAGTTCATATTGGAGAGTCTGCAGTGCTCTGTGCTGGCCATATCTCTATACGGTAATTATAAAATTTTTTGTGTTTAGGACTGACTCCCAATGAGATGGTATTGGAGGAGCTGGCTGAGGAAGAGGAGTTTACACTGCCCAACCCCCGAACTATTAGGTTACATAAACAACCTCTAGAGGTCTTTATCAATGCAAAACCCGACACTCGTCCTCAAACAGGTACATTATAAGTTTCTGTTTTATGTGTCTTAAGATGATCACACACCCCAAGATATTTAGCATCATTGTGGGCATTGCTCATGAAAACGTGTGTGTCCCTCCCCACAGTCTCTGCAAACCCATTTCAATGGACTCCTATGCTTCTTTGCTTAGGCATTCTGCTCACATCCTCTTATAGAAAGAAAGCATACCCCTTTCTCAGGCAACTTTGAGAGCTGCGATACCATTTCAATTAGAAAATATAGACATTTATTACAACACATTTAAAATTCTATAGTAAACATACATGGATAAAATCATATAGGCCATATATTTCAACATACACAGAAGTGAAAAAAAATACTCTGATTACAGTGCTGATGGGCACGGCATTAGGAACTGTGCAGCCTTCTCATGTGATGCTTAATACAACTCAGGGTATAAGGATCATGTTGGCACACCCTTAGAAGAGCCCGACTGGGATCTCATAGCTCCATCTTCTGTGTAGGATTGTCCTTGAGAGGCTACTATGCAGGATGGTGTCCAATATATGACTGTTGATTTATGGCTGTCAGATTACCCCTTAAATGTTGGGACAACGGATAACTCATTTTCTGTGGTCCTACAATTTTGTTCCTTCTTTGGTTTTCTCTTACAATATGATGCTCATGGATGCTACATGCTGCTCTGTTGAAATATAAGAAAGCTTGTTTTACTATAGCAATACTTTCTATGTAACATGAATTTTACCTTCATCCATATACTCCTGAGGAAGTGGATGGATTTTATGAAATGCGTAGAGAAAATTATACTATAGTGCTATACAGGCTGTAATAAGCCTACATGGTTGAGTACAATAGCGGGGAGGGATTTTGAATTTATGAATTTATTCTGCTGCTATGTTTTTACATTTCCAATTGTAATAAACAGCTATATTTTCTAATTTAACTGATATTGTAGATCCTATTTTTTGGTGCCAGGGTGGTCTCATTTTTGTATCCGAATTAATATTTGTAGTGTATATTAGGGGTGGTGTTACCCCCTCAGTAGCCATGTAAGTGAGGTCTTGGAGTAATTTTTTTTTAAACTCAGTTTTAATCAAATAAATGAACATGTCAATATACATGAAAGTGTGATGATGCCATAGATGGAAATGTATTGGCTAGAGACATATCTACATAGTAATTGCAGGAGTACATGAAGAGGAGGAAAGAGTAGAAAATGAAAAAAAAGTGGGGGGAGTTCACAAACCCAATGACCCATAAACTAACAGGGTACATAATTACAAACAGTAGATTATTGTAAAGTAACTGGTGCTCACCCATATCACCACTTCAGTCAAGGCATATTTAATCATCAAAGGCCTAGGTCAGTTCACACGTACAACACTCCAACATCAGAACATAAAGACTCGATGTAAGAACTTATTGAGGTGGCAGGTCAAAGTCTAAGTGAAGCAAGGAATCACTGCTATCCTGGTCTTGGAGTAATTTAAGTTTAGAGAGCTGCTGTCCTCATATTCCTATCCCTTGACTCAGTCTCAACCACGCCTTCAAAATGCCATATCTGCTCAAATTGCTCTTACCCATTCTGGTTCCCTGGTATAATTTATGATCCCTGCAAACCCAAATCCTAAAATTCAAACAGGCCCAGGTTCAATAGACACACTGTGCATAAATCCAAATCATGTGGAGGCCTGTGTGTATGTAAGATTATGCCCAGATTACACATCTGGTTCAACTACACTCCACAACAGAGTTACTATTATGGACCTTCCTAGACATATGAGATGTCCATTCCTATGCCCTACGCCCTTCAGCCTGGTCTTGGCACATGACCTGTCTACCTTGTCAAATGTTTGTCCACGTCATCTAAAATGTCACCATAGCCCTGCAGGCACTAATTTTGTGTTGTTTAATGTAGTGTAACTACCACTGTAACCTCTGAGCTCATATTGTATGCCCTTGTCTTAATTTCTAGAAAAACTTTTGGTAACGGTAAACTAGTGTGTGAACTAACTGTAAGGCCTCGTGTACACCAAAAGTGCAGAAAAACTTGCAGATTTCACTTGCAGATACACGACTTTAAATCAGTGTTCATGTGCATGAGTTTAATACACGTTGCACAGTGGAGTATCATCCATGGGTTCAAGGTATTCACTGCATGCGCGGGGGGGTGTGTGAGGGGGGAAGTACTGTACTCTGAGCCACACTGCACCCATCTGTCCCTGGTTGGTACCTCCTGCAGCAGGTGAACTTTGACAGTCATTGGTGACCCATGCGGTGGTGGGGGCAGTTACAAGCACCAATTTCCCTGTATGGTTTTCTATGAAGCAGCTGAAAGGCGATTCTCCTCCTCTCCTTCTTGTGAATTTCAGCTGCTTCATTGAAAAGCCATACAGGAAGATCAGTGCTTGTAAGTGCCCCCACCACCATACCGATCACCCCTGACTGCCCATCAGATTTTCCTTCCTTTCTGGGTCCCCTGTGTGCTCCCCCGGCCCCACTGTGTGCTCCTTGTCCCCCCTTGTCCCTCCGCAGCACTGCTGGCTTCTCTCCTCTCCCACTGTGCGCTGCGGGGGATCTGGGAGGATGGAGAGTGGAGGAAGGAGCAAGTAAACATGCCCCTTCTTTTTATAAATGAGTAGAGTCAGTGATTGGTACCGACTCTGCCCATTCATAACTGAAGCATTGTATACTGTGTTTACGATGTTTCAGTTTATGAATGAAGAGGAGCCTCTGTCTCCTGTTCATTCATCTTCAGTGCTGCTGAGGACACAGAGAAAGTGATTGGGGAATATCTGTCCTCAGTCCCTTTCTCTGTGTCAAAGGGGAGATGCATTGTGAAGCATTATGAAAAAAAAAATAAATTGTAAAAAATAAAAACAAAAAAAAATTACTGACACTGTCCACTGCCCTACCTACCCTGTCCATTTTCCTCCACAAAAAAAGCAATGTGAAAAAAATAATAATAAAAAAAATCAATTGTAAAAAACAATAATAAAAAAAAAAAATAATAATAAAAAACTACTGACACTATCCACTGCCCCCCCGCAAATCATTGTGAGAAAAATAATACAAAAATAAATTTTAAATGTTAGAAAACAATAAAAAATAAAATTATAAAAACTTAAATAAAAAAAAAGTCAGACTCTGTCCATTGCTCTAATGACACCGTCTACTACCCTACTGACACCATCCACTGGCCCCCAAAAGCATTTTGTAAAAATGAAAGAAATAATAAAAAATTAAATTGTAAAAGAATAAAATTGTAAAAATAAAGAACTATTGGCACCATCCACTGCCCTACTGACACCATCCTGGACATACTACCCACTGCCATACACTCCGCACTCCTCTCCCTGCACATACTACCCTCCGTGGTACACTCAGCACTCTTCTCTTGCACATAATACTCACTGCCATACACTCTACAGTCCTCTTCTGCACATACCACCCACCGCTATCTACTTCACACGCCATTCCTACACATACTACCCACCGCTGTACACTCAGCACTCCTCTCCTACACATACTACCCACCGCCGTACACTCAGCACTCCTCTCCTACACATAAAGAAATACTACCCACCGCCATACACTCAGCACTCCTCTCCTACACATACCACCCACTGCTATCTACTCCACTGACGCCTTTCCTACACATACTACCCCACCGCTGTACACTCAGCACTCCTCTCCCTACACATACTACCCACCGCCGTACACTCAGCACTCCTCTCCTACACATACTACCCACCGCCATACACTCAGCACTCCTCTCCTACACATACCACCCACCGCTATCTACTCCACACGCCTTTCCTACACATACTACCCACCGCCGTACACTCAGCACTCCTCTTCTACACATACTATCCACCTCCATACACTCAGCACTCCTCTCCTACACATACTACCCACCGCCGTACACTCAGCACTCCTCTCCTACACATACTACCCACCCACCGCCATACACTCAGCACTCCTCTCCTACACATACCACCCACTGCTATCTACTCCACACGCCCTTCCTACACATACTACCCACCGCCATACACTCAGCACTCCTCTTCTACACACATACTATCCCACCTCCATACACTCAGCACTCCCCTCCTACACATACCACCCACCGCCATACACTCAGCACTCCTCTCCTACACATACTACCCACCGCCATACACTCAGCACTCCTCTCCTACACATACCACCCACCGCCATACACTCAGCACTCCTCTCCTACACATACTACCCACCGCCATACACTCAGCACTTCTCTCCTGCATATGATACTCACCTCCATACACTCTGCATTCCTCTCCTGCACATTACACCCGCCGCCATACACTCCACACCCCTCTCCTGCACATACCACCCATTGCAGTACATTCCGCACTGTACATTCCCTGTTTAACACAACTGCATTCTGCACTATGTAAGTCATCTCAGACTCTATCTAACCACATCCCCTTTAAGCCACGCCGCATTTTTATTTTTTATCAATGCCTAGGGCCCACTTTTGATCTTGCACACAGGCCCGCTGATTTGATGATATGCCCCTGACGTTGCATATTCCTACGCAGGAAAAATCTGCATGTGATGCTAGTGTTCTGGTGTGAAAAGGGCACATAGAAAACAATTGTTTTATTTGTGTCCTTGTAAAAGGCGTGCAGAAAAACTTGCGTGTTTGCACATGGTGTTGACAAGGCCAGAAGGATTTATTAAACTCTTTTTAACCATCATTAGCTCGCATCTGTGTTTTCTGGTTTGCTAGTTTCTGGTCCTCATTGAAAACAAGCAGGGAAAGGAATATGCAAGCTCTGTTGCCCATTTAAGAACAACTTGCAACAATTATACAACAAATGGGTTATGGCACAATTGATGCAAAATATGGTGTTGGTCAAAGAAACCTAAAATCTAAGACATTCACTGGCTTCCTGCATAGATGCACATACAATGTAATGTGTTGTACAATTTTACCATAATCAGATTTTTACACCTGGGTGGATTTGTTTTATGTGTTTCTGTTTTTTATTGTATGTGAGCATTGATCTGTAAATTGCAGATGTCACCTCATACGACTTAGTACAAGGTGTCCCTGGGGAGTAATTGAGTAACTGTTTCTGGATGTCTCTGGGTCACCTAGCAATGAGAAGTTGTGTATTAAGATCAGGTTCATTCCTACACGGGAGAGACTGTGAGCTCAGATCACTAACACGGATCATAACTAACACCTTCATCTTGTTCCAGATCATCAGCAATACAAATGCAACATAAAGAAAAGGTAAGAGAATTCCTCTAGGCTATGACTTGAGCCTCATTTTATATCTGTCTTTGACATTTTTTTTTATAAAACCACATTTTATGTAATAAATGTTTTCAATAATTTTGTGTATTTTTTTTTAAGATTTCTCTTAGCTGGCAAACATATACATCTTGGCATTAATATGCCATTTGAGTGTCTTTCTCTCCTTCTAACATTATAGATTATGAGAAAGTGCTTTTAAGTGCATATTTGTCCTGGAGATTCAGATACAGATAATGTTTGTAGCAGATTCAAGTTGAGGATTGTGTATTCTCGCTCACCTTATGCTACTCCCTAAATAGGAAATTATTGTTTAAATTCTAGTCTTGAAGTGATGTATATTCCATTATTTATTAGGAACTGCACTTGACGGTATGTACTAAAACAGTAACCTACCTACTTACCATTTTGACAATAACCTGTTGAACTTAATGAAAGCTTGTGTGTTCTATGAACTTTTTCAGCCTATTATCATTAAGGACCGTTATCCACTGTTGGAGTGTAGGAGGTGATTCGCTCTTCCAACATATAGTCGTTTGCTTCCATGCCAAACTATTTCATCAAAATCCTGTTCCCCAGTATATATCCTAACATTGACAGTATCAGATCCTTTGACTTGGATGCAATTTTTTTACATACTGGCAAAAACCCAGAAAATTATATTTTTTAACTCAATCTCAACCAATTTGCTTTCAGTCAGATAGGCCTTTTCAATTTATAGTTGTTAGTTGATTTATGGACATTGTAACTTGCATGCTCACCCTGAAATAGAACACATGTGACCCTTAATTACTGAGCCCTGAACCCAATTTTAGAGAAATCATTGTTCCATATCTTGCATTGTTAAGCATTATAAACACTGCTCGAAAACGTAAAGGAACACTTTGAAAACACATCAGGTCTCAATGGGGAAAAATATAATGCTGGATATCTATACTGATATGGACTGGGTAATGTGTTAGGAACGTAAGGATGCCCCATCATTTGATGGAAATGAAAGTGATCAACCTACAGAGGTCTGAATTCATAGACACCCCCCCAAAAATCAAAGTGAAAAATTGATGCAGCAGGCTAGTCCGTTTTGCTGAAATTTCATTGCAGCATCTCAAAATGGTACTCAGTAGTTTGTATAGCCCCACATGCTTGTATGTATGCCTAACAACATGGGGTATTTCCTCCCAGATCTGGATCAGGGCATCATTGAGCTCCTGGACAGTCCGAGGTGCAACCTGGCAGTGTCGGATGGACAAAAACGTGATATCCCAGATGTGTTCTAATGGATTTAGGTCAGGCGAGCTTGGGAGACATTCAGTGGTATCAATTCCTTCATCCTCCAGGAACTGCCTGCATACTCTTGCCACATTAGGCTGGGCATTGTCGTGCACCAGGAGGAACCCAGGACCCACTGCACCAGTGTAGGGTCTGACAAGGAGTCCAAGGATTTCATCCTGATACCTAATGGCAGTCTGGGTGCCATTGCTTAGCCTGTAGAGGTCTGTGCGTCTCTCCATGGATATGCCTCCCCAGACCATCACTGACCCACCACCAAAACGGTCATGCTGAATGATGTTCTGGGCAGCATAACGTTCTCCACAGCTTCTCCAGACCCTTTCACGTCTGTCACATGTGCTTAGGGTGAACCTGCTCTCATCTGTAAAGAGCACAGAGTGCCAGTGGCGGACCTTCCAATTCTGGTGTTCAATGGCAAATGCCAATAGAGCTCTATGGTGCCGGGCAGTAAGCACAGGGCCCACTAGAGGACATCGGGCCCTCAGGCCACCCTCATGAAGTCTGCTTTTGATTGTTTGGTCAGAGACATTCACACCAGTGGCCTGGTGGCGGTCATTTTGTAGGGCTCTGGCAGTGCTCATCCTGTTCCTCCATGCACAAAGGAGCAGATACTGGTCCTGCTGATGGGTTAAGGACCTTCTATGGCCCTGTCAAGCTCTCCTAGATTAACTATCTGTCTCCTGGAATCTCCTCCATGCTCTTGAAACTGTGCTGGGAGACAAAGCAAACCTTCTAGTAATGGCACCTATTGATGTGCCATCCTGGAGGAGTTGGACTGCCTGTGCAACCTCTGTAGGGTATCGCCTCATGCTACCAGTAGTAACACTGACCCTAGCCAAATGCAAAACTAGTGAAAAGCACTAAGAAAAGATGAGTATGGAAAAAAATATCAGTGGTCTCCGCCGTAAAACCATTCTTGTTTTGGGGAGTCATCTCATTGTTGCCCATCTAGTGCACCTGTTGTTAATTTCATTAACACCAAAGCAGCTGAAACTGACCCCCCTCTGCTACTTAACTGACCAGATCAATATCCCAGGAGTTTAATTGACTTCATGCTATACTCTGGTTAAAAAGTGTTTCCTTTAATTTTTTTGAGCAGTGTATATATACACTATTTTGCCAAAAGTACGGGAACACCTCTCCAAATCATTGAATTCAAGTGTGGTACAGGTCTTTAGCTATTGACTTTGCAGTAGGTTGGTGACTTCTGCGCCATTATGTGTTTCAGCATTCGCTGACCCCGCTCTGTCATTTTATGTGGCCTACCACTTCATTGCTGAGTTGCTGTTGTTCCCAGTTGCTTTCACTTTGTTAAGCCATGGACTCCAGTCGACCTCTGAAGGTATGCTGTGGTATTTGACACCAAGCCGTCAGTGGCAGATCCTTTAAGTCATGTTAGTTGCGAGGTGGGGCCTCCATAGATCGGACCTGTTTTCCAGCACATCCCACAGATGCTTGTTTGGATTGAGATCTGGAGAATTCGGAGGCCAAGTCCACACATTGAACTCTTTATTGCGTTCCTCAAACCATTCTTTGAATTCATCAGACCAGGCCACCTTCTTCCATTGTTCCGTGGTCTGGTTCTGATGCTCATGTGCCTTACAGTAGCTCTTTTTTTGGATCAGACTACATGGGTTAGCCTTCGCTCCTCATGTTTTCCTTCCTTGGATCACTTTTGGCAGGTCCTGACCACTGCAGATCAGGAACATGTGACAAGAGTTGCAGTGTTACAGATACTCTGACCCAGTCATCTATCCATTACAATTTGGCGCTTTTCAAAGTTACTCAGATCTTTACACTATCCCGTTTTTTCGGCTTTCAACACACCATCTTCAGGGACAACATGTTCACTTGCTGCCTAATATATCCCGCCCATTCCATCCACGAAAGTTAACACCTTGACAGGAGTGTCTTCTGATGGGAAAGTTGAAGAAAATCACCATGCAAGTTCACTGCAGTTAGCTATTACTCTATACTCTGGAGTGATGAGACCAAGATAAATGTTTTGGAACTGATGGCTTCAAAACTGTATGGCGTCGCAAAGGTGAGAAGTACAAAGAAAAATGTATGGTGCCTACAGTGAAGCATGGTGGTGGCAGTGTCCTTCTGTGGGGTTGCATGAGTGCTGCTGGTGTCGGGGAGCTGCATTTCATTGATGGTATCATGAATTCACAGATCTACTGCTCTATATTGAAAGAGAAGATGCTACCATCACTCTGTGCCCTTGGTCGGCATGCACTTTTCCAACTTGACAATGATACAAAACACACATCTAAGGCCACTGTTACATTTCTTAAGAAAAACAGGGTGCAAGTGATTCAGTGGACAAGTATGTCTCCTGATCTGAACCCAATAAAACACCTATGGGGAATTCTGAAGAGACAAGTTGAGCATCACTCACCATCCAGGATCCAGGCTTTTAAAAGAAGTCATTCTTGAAGAATGGAAAAAGATTGATGTTGCAATATGTCACCAAGTTGTTCAATCCATTCCTAGCACACTTGGTGTTGTCCTTACAAATCATGGAGGTCAAGCAAAATACTAGATGGAGGCGTATTTATTTTTTCATCAACTAATTTGAGTATCTGAAGATTTTGTAATCTAAGTTATATAATTACCTTACTTTCCTGTAATGAGCTAAACAAAGGTGCTATAAAACTCAATTTTATCAAAAGTTCATTTATTTCAGTAATGCAACTTAAAAGGTGAGACTAATATATGAGATAGACTCATTACATGCAAAGCAATATAGTTCAAGCCGTGATTTGTCATAATTGTGATGATCATGACTTACAGCTCATGAAAACCCCAAATCCACAATCTCAGAAAATTAGAATATTGTGAAAAGGTGCAATATTCTCGGCTCAAAGTGTCCCACTCTAATCAGCTAATTAAGCCATAACACCTGCAAAGGGTTCCTGAGCCTTTAAATGGTCTCTCAGTCTGGTTCAGTAGGAATCGCAATCATGGGAAAGACTGCTGACCTGACAGTTGTGCAGAAAACCATCATTGACACCCTCCATAAGGAGGGAAAGCCTCAAAAGGTAATTTCAAAAGAAGTTGGATGTTCCCAAAGTGCTGTATCAAAGCACATTAATAGAACGTTGTGTGGAAGAAAAAGGTGCAAAAGCAGCAGGGATGACCGCAGCCTGGAGAGGATTGTCAGGAAATGGCCATTCAAAGTGTTGGGGACTTTCACAAGGAGTGGACTGAGGCTGGAGTCAGTGCATCAAGAGCCACCACACACAGGCGGATCCTGGACATGGGCTTCAAATGACGTATTCCTCTTGTCAAGCTGCTCCTGAACAAAAAAAAATGTCAGAAGCGTCTTACCTGGGCTAAAGAAAAACAGGACCTGGTCTGTTGCTCAGTGGTCCAAAGCCCTCTTTTCTGATGAGAGCAACTTTTGCATCTCATTTGGAAACCAAGAACCCAGAGTATGGAGGAAGAATGGAGAGGCACACACTGCAAGATGTTTGAAGTCCAGTGTGAAGTTTCCACTGTCTGTGTTGATTTGGGGAGCCATGTCATCTGCTGGTGTTGGTCCACTGTGCTTCATTAGGTCCAGGGTCAACGCAGCTGTCTACCAGGAGATTTTTGAGCACTTCATGCTTCCTTCCGCAGACGAGCTTTATGGGGATGCTGACTTCATTTTCCAGCAGGACTTGGCACCTGCCCACACTGCCAAAAGCACCAAAACCTGGTTCAATGACCGTGGGATTACTGTGCTTGATTGGCCAGCAAACTCGCCTGACCTGAACCCCATAGGGAACCTATGGGGCATTGCCAAGAGAAAGATGAGAGACATGAGACTGAACAATGCAGAAGAGCTGAAGGCCGCTATTGAAGCATCCTGGTCTTCCAAAACACCTCAGCAGTGCCACAGGCTGATAGCTTCCATGCCACGCCGCATTGAGGCAGTAATTGCTGCAAAAGGGGCCCAAACCAAGTAATATGCATGCTAATACTTTTAGAGGTCCGATATTGTTCTATGTACAATCCTTGTTTTATTGATTGCATGTAATATTCTAATTTTCTGAGATTGTGGATTTGGGGTTTTCATGAGCTGTAAGCCATAATCATCACAATTATGACAAATCATGGTTTGAACTATCTTGCTTTGCATGTAATGAGTCTATCTCATATATTAGTTTCACCTTTTAAGTTGCATTACTGAAATAAATGAACTTTTGCATGATATTCTAATTTTTCGAGTTTCACCTGTATATCTGTCAGACAAAGCAAGTACATCCCCTGCACCAAAGGTGAAGGCAGACAATGCACTCATCAAATGACTAGATACTTGTATTAGGAAGGAAAGGAAAAAAAATAAAAGGGGGGGGGGGTGGTGTAATAGTAGACACGAGGGTTCCAAAATAAAGGAAAAAGGGGTATCAATACTGTTGAACAAAAACCTTAATTGAATGAGCTGTGAAGTAGACCTAAATGAAGAAGTAAGGACGGAGTAAACTAGGAAGAAGCCTCTAAAGGAGTAAGAGAAGGAAGGGTCCCATCCCAAGTGTCATTCAGCTCAGACCTTTTTAATGAGAGAGTTGATTGTGGAGCTTCTCTGATGAGGAGTAATGTAGCCATATAAACCATAATTTATTTGATGCAGCAAAGGTTTCCAACATGTTCCTTCCACAGAAATTGATGAAATGATTGACTTCTGTCAAGTGAGGACTACCACACACTGATTGAAATTCAGCCGGTTCAGCAGGGACAGGGACTGGCTGAGTTGTGGTCAGTGTACGACAGTCTTTAGGCTCTGAAGGAAGCATTCAGTTCTTCAATGTGTCAAATGCTTATTGGGAGATAGTTAAATTAAACCTGTCCATCAGATCACTGCCCTGGAGATTGCTTACAACACTTGGCTGCTCCCACCAAAGCCTAATCAAATGGACTGGCTTTGAGAACACATCCTTTTAAATGAACAGTAAAGTGTCTGTTCCTGGATTTGTAAGCAAGGGAGTTATTCACTTTTTATATATTTATTACTTGCCCCAATAATGGCCAAAGATGGTATGTTTCATGTGAGCTGCACTGAGCTGACTCGATTTTTCAGCAGTACTGTAAGTGAGCAGCTCCAGATGACCGGGCTCAGCGACATTGCCGACATTCTGACTGATCTCATAGATGGAGGGGTGTCTGCTTCAGAACTTGGACTGACTGAAACACAAGCACAGGCCATTTCCACGTAAGAACCGTTTACTATGTCACCAAGAAAGTGAAAAAAAATGTATGTACTTCCCTGATCATGATTATTACTGATCTGATTAAACTGTCTTAAGAAGAGGTTTTCCCTCCTCTGGAGAGATTTACTCCACTTCCTGTTGTATCTATGGGATAGAGAGTGAAGGGGAATCTCCTCAATGACACACAGAAAAAAAAAAAAACTGACAGTAATTTTACCTGATCCCTATTCTGTCTATACAATGTAAAAAGTTTCAGCTTTTAGAAATATTTTATTGCATTTTCATAATGGATTTTCCACACCATATGTACTTACAAACTGCTGGACAGGTTTTACTTGCACAGAATATTTTGGGTTTGTTAACACCATGTGCAGAGATGTGCGTTTATCTAGTGTAGGTCTCTGCAAAGACATAAAGAAAACAATTGTTTTCTGTGTGTCCTGTTTGCACCACAATGCTGGTGTCATGCAAGTTTTTTTTCCTGCACAGAAAAATGCATATATATTGCATATTTCTGCACAGAAAAAAACACGCACATGACAATAGTGATCAGCACACAAAAAATATGTTTTCTTTTTGCCCTTGCAGAGAGAGATGCAGAAACACACATAGGTCTCTGTTTATGGTGTGAATGAGGCCTTAAACTGGCCTGGTATTTTTTTTTTAGTAAGGTGGATGGAGAAATCCCCCTCACTGAAATTATGTATTCTGACAGTGGTTCCCATTGCTGTCAGAAAACATTGGTCAGCGACTGCAACCGATTGGCTACAGCTACTGATTGAGCAAGTTTTTCCTACATGTTCCTTCACCAGGAATCGATCTGTCGAGTGGGCATGGCCACACACTGATCAAAACTCGGCCAGTCCATGCTAATCCAGCTGAATTTTGATCAATGTATGTCCAGATTTACTCTCAGCCAACACTGTCTCATTTACTGAAAGGGGTTATTTAAAGGCACATCAGCTGCTTTGTACTCACAGGAAAAGGAGTCAAAATACTTCAAAGAAAAGCCAGAAGGACAGAGCAGAGCTGCGGATGTGGATGAAGAAGAAACAGAGGGAGCGCCTGGCAGAATACAGGAAGAAGTTGGAAGAATTGAGAGAGAGAGAACACAAGCCATTCCATCCACACCACCAAGCTGTACGTGAAATGAGATTTTCTCTTGTTGCTCTCCTTTAGGCTGCATTCACACTTGAGCATTTTGTGGCTCGGAGATGCTCAACAAACAAATCACATTCATTTCAATGGCCCCCTTTCACATCTGAGCATGAATAGGGGGTCATTGAAATGAATGGGATTTTTCTTGTTGAGTCTCTGAGCTTCAAACTAAGAAACACTCAGGTGTGAATGCAGCCTTACTTCTTTGTCTTGTCTCTGGTCACCTATGAAGAAGGGTTACTATGTCTTTCCTGCTGGTTCACAGTATTTCACCAGCTGGCAGAGGATACTATATTTTCATAAGCAGCCAGAGGCTAACATAACATGTAGTGCGTTATCTACAACACATTTACACACACATAGGACAATACTGTCTTCCCAATTGACTGCAGAGTAAACAGATATGTTAAAATACGGATTTTTTATTTTTTTTTGTTTGTTCCCAACTTTCCTTTTTGTAAACGCTTACAACATTTTTTCAAACCGATCATTTTTTCAGTTGTTAATAGCAGTATGCAAACTCCCTGTAGTGTTCAATTATATAAAGCATCAATTATCCCAAGACTGTAATCATGGATGCCAATGCATAAGGTCATAGGAAGAAAATTTATATATATATATATATATATATATATATATATATATATATAGAGTATATATGTTAACGGTGCACAATAGGTACTGTTTATACACTTCCTCACCCTATGTGAAGTGGAGGAGTGTGTTGAATTGTGTCACTTCATCTACTTATCTACATAGCTACAACACAGCTGCTAGGTGGAGTTTCATCCATTATTTATGACTTGATTTTGTTCACCGAGAAAATGCAATTTGGTAATAAAAGTATATGCTTGTTTTTTTTTTCAACGTTCGTTTTAGAGGGAACCCGTCATAATGTTGACTTGTTTAAAGGTGCAAGCTCTGGGGTCCCATTCTTATCTTTGCTTGATGTGAAGTCTATTGAAGAAATACTTAAACATGGAAATTGGTTTTATTGTTTTTCCCTTTTTATAACAGTAAGTGCTTGTCCCTTTCAGAACACGTTGGTTTCCTCAAAATCAATATGGCAAACCCAGAGATTGAAAAATGAGAAGGACCGGTAAGTCAGGCCTTCATTTACTCCAGTTTACTCATTTAGATAGCTCTGACATCAACCCCCCTGTCCCTAGAAGCTGACCGTTTAACTTCCCTAGACATATCGATTGTCTTCAGCATTTTGGGGTTTATACAAGTTATCTGTCAGGGCTCCCGGGTGTGACCAGAGGTGTGTGACTGACGCAGGGAACGCAGACTTCAGATATGTTATAAACAGTGTAATTTATTAACACTAACCATACAAACATAAACGCAGTGCAATACTAAAACATAACACAGTGCAAACAAACCAAACCACCCACAGATAACAGTACAGACAATGCAAGCGTCGTCAGGCAGGCCGGGTCAATATCAGTCGGGCAGGTAGGTACAGGGGGAGCAAGCGGAGAATGGTCGGGGTCACAGGCCAGGTTCAGCAGGTAGCGGGCAGCGTGGTACAGAGGGTCAGGCAGAGGAGAATGGTCAGACAAGCCAGGGATCAGAGCAGGGTCAGCAGAGAATCAGACAGGAACAGAGAGCAGGAACAGGATACAGGGCCCAAGAGAAACACAACACCAAGGCAGAGTCTGCAGGTCTGAATGTCCCTTAAATAAACCAGTATAAAGTTCCAGGTGTTTGACTGGCTGCAAGGTTGAGTCTTTGATTGCTGGAGCACCCGCTGGCCAGCCCTGGTACTGCAGCTCATAAGGCAGCTCAGTCCCACTATTGCTGGCCAGTCCATTCCTGACAGTACCCCCCCTCAAGGAGCGGCCTCAGGACGCTCCAAACAGTCCTAGCTGGGCAAAATGTTCCACCGCCCGGGCCTGGTAACTGGCGGGATATCAAAGACTGGCACACCGGGCAGGACTCCGGGCAGCGGCACACCGGGCAGAGGCACATCGGGCTGGACTCCGGGCAGAGGCACATCGGCTGGACTCCGGGCAGAGGCACATCGGGCTGGACTCCGGGCAGAGGCACATCGGGCTGGACTCCGGGCAGAGGCACATCGGGCTGGACTCCGGGCAGAGGCACATCGGGCTGGACTCCGGGCAGAGGCACATCGGGCTGGACTCCGGGCAGAGGCACATCGGGCTGGACTCCGGGCAGAGGCACATCGGGCTGGACTCCGGGCAGAGGCACATCGGGCTGGACTCCGGGCAGAGGCACATCGGGCTGGACTCCGGGCAGAGGCACATCGGGCAGAGGCACACTGGGCTGGACTCCGGGCAGAGGCACACTGGGCTGGACTCCGGGCAGAGGCACATCGGATTACCAGGCGAAGCAGCAGGCAGCGGGCCACCAGGCGGAGCAGCAGGCACCGGGCCCCCAGGCGGGGCAGCAGGCACCGGGCCCCCAGGCGGGGCAGCAGGCACCGGGCCCCCAGGCGGAGCAGCAGGCACCGGGCCCCCGGGCGGAGCAGCAGGCAGGCACCGGGCCCCCGGGCAGAGCAGCAGGCACCGGGCCCCCGGGCGGGCGACCGGCATCGGGTCCCCAGGCGGGGCGACCGGCATCGGGCCCCCAGGCGGAGCGGCGGGCGCCGGGCCCCCAGGAGGGGCGACAGGCATCGGGCCCCCGGGCGGGGCGACCGGCATCGGGTCCCCGGGCGGGGCGACAGGCATCGGGCCCCCGGGCAGAGCAGCAAGCACCGGGCCCCCGGGCGGGGCAACGGGCATTGGGCCCCCAGGCGGAGCGGCAGACGCCGGACCCCCAGGCGGAGCGACAGGTCTCGGGCCCTCAGGCGGAGCGGCGGGCGCCGGACCGCCAGGCAGAGCGACAGGTCTCGGGCCCTCAGGCGGAGCGGCGGGCGCCGGACCCCCAGATGGAGCGACAGGTCTCGGGCCCTCAGGCGGAGCGACAGGTCTCAGGCCCCCAGGCGGGGCGGCGGGCGCCGGACCCCCAGGCGGAGCGGCGGGCGCCGGACCCCCAGGCGGAGCGACAGGTCTTGGGCCCCCAGGCGAAGCGGCGGGTACCGAGTCACCAGGCACGACAGTGGGCTCCGAGTCAACTGGCATGACCGCGGGCACTGGGGCAGACATTGAATCGTCTGGCTGGACAGCGGGCATCGGGTCACCAGGCATCAGGTCATTTGGCTCGATAGCGGGCACCGCGTCATCTGGCAAGGCAGTGGGCTCCGAGTCAACAGGCACGACAGTGGGCACCGGGTCATCAGGTACCGGATTGTCTGGCTCGACAGTGGGCATCGGGTCACCAGGTATGACAGCGGGCACTGGGTCACCAGGCATCAGGTCATTTGGCTTGCCAGCGGGCACCGCGTCATCTGGCAAGGCAGTTGGCACCGGGTCACCAGGCATTGGATCGTCTGGCTCGACAGCGGGCATCGGGTCACCAGGTATGACAGCGGGCACTGGGTCACCAGGCATCAGGTCATTTGGCTCGCCAGCGAGCACCGCGTCATCTGGCAAGGCAGTGGGCACCGAGTCACCAGGTACGACAGCGTGCTCTGAGTCAATTGGCACGACAGCGGGCACCAGATCAGGTACCGGATCATCTGGATCAATAGCGGGCATCGAGTCAACTGGCCTAATAGGATCGTCAGGCTGGATCAGTTCATCATGCTGGGTAGAGGCATCAGGCTGAATGCCGGCGTCCGGCTGAGTAGAGGCTTCAGGCTGAGTAGAGGCTTCAGGCCGAGTAGAGGCTTCAGGCCGAGTAGAGGCTTCAGGCCGAGTAGAGGCTTCAGGCCGAGTAGAGGATTCAGGCTGAACCACGGAAGGCAGGTTCACCGGTTTGGATACTGGCAGGATGGTATTGGTTGGAAAGAATTTTCGCTTTTTTTCTGGTTTTAACTACTGGAGCACTGCAAGTAAACGCAGGTCTGCAAACGAATGGAGCAGCTGGAGACAGAGAAGAGCTGGAGGATGGAACAGGGGAAGGAACAGTCTCTACAGAGGGCTTTTTTACAGGGTTAAAGGCAGGATAGGTGCAGCGAGTGGGAACAGGGGACTGACATGCGGTAGATAGCAGGGCAGGAGGAGCTGTTGGGAATGCAGGAATAGAGCTTTGAGGAAATAGATTAGAAGCAGGACTGGGTCTTTGTAAGCTGACTGAGACTGGGTGCAACACATCTGTCCATGTCTGCAGTATGGGTTGAACAAAGCTGAGCTTACACAAAGCCTGTCTGGTCAATGACTGCACTGCGTTTATACAATCTCTTAGTGTCTGTGGTGAACATGTGGAATAACGCTCCAGAAAGTAACCCACATCATCCTCTAATAACCACACCAGGGACTCTACCTGGTCTGCACTAAATGGTGGCAAAAATTCATCCCTGCATTCGGGGGTACCAGATGAAACCAACTCTGCACAAACCTCAATCAAAGGCTGCACCTCAGAGAACTCTGTGCCCTGATCTACTAGAACATGAGCGAGCCGTATACATTCTAGCAGTTCATCCCGGGTATACTCCTTCAGAGTTTGATAAGCATACTCCCTGTCATCAAACACTAGCAGATATAAATACGCAACCTCATCCAGATCCATCCTTCCCATCAACAAGCCAAGATGGCTTCCCTGTGCAGCCACTTCTGGTCAGGATTGGCCTTGGTGTAATGTCAGGGCTCCGGGTATGACCAGAGGTGTGTGACTGACGCAGGGAAACGCAGACTTCAGATATGTTATAAACAATGTAATTTATTAACACTAACCATACAAACATAAACGCAGTGCAATACTAAACATAATACAGTGCAAACAAACCAACCAACCACCCACAGATAACAGTACATACAATGCAAGCGTCGTCAGGCAGGCTGGGTCAATATCAGTCGGGCAGGTAGGTACAGGGGGAGCAAGCGGAGAATGGTCGGGGTCACAGGCCAGGTTCAGCAGGTAGCGGGCAGCGTGGTACAGAGGGTCAGGCAGAGGAGAATGGTCAGACAAGCCAGGGATCAGAGCAGGGTCAGCAGAGAATCAGACAGGAACAGAGAGCAGGAACAGATACAGGGGCCAAGAGAAACACAACACCAAGGCAGAGTCTGCAGGTCTGAATGTCCCTTAAATACACCAGTATAATTAGTTCCAGGTGTTTGACTGGCTGCAAGGTTGAGTCTCTGATTGCTGGGAGCACCCGCTGGCCAGCCCTGGTACTGCAGCTCATAAGGCAGCTGAGTCCCACTATTGCTGGCCAGTCCATTCCTGACACTGACGCAGGGAAACGCAGACTTCAGATAAGTTAAAAACAATGTAATTTATTAACACTAACAACACATAAACGCAGTGCAATACTAAAAACATAACACAGTGCAAACAAACCAAACCACCCACAGATAACAGTACATACAATGCAAGCGTCGTCAGGCAGGCCGGGTCAATATCAATCGGGCAGGTAGGTACAGGGGGAGCAAGCGGAGAATGGTCGGGGTCACAAGCCAGGTTCAGCAGGTAGCGGGCAGCGTGGTACAGAGGGTCAGGCAGAGGAGAATGGTCAGACAAGCCAGGGATCAGAGCAGGGTCAGCAGAGAATCAGGCAGGAACAGGATACAGGGCCCACAACACCAAGGCAGAGTCTGCAGGTCTGAATGTCCCTTAAATACACCAGTATAATTAGTTCCAGGTGTTTGACTGGCTGCAAGGTTGAGTCTCTGATTGCTGGGAGCACCCGCTGGCCAGCCCTGGTACTGCAGCTCATAAGGCAGGTGAGTCCCACTATTGCTGGCCAGTCCATTCCTGACATTATCTTTCCAGAAGGAAATGTATGCAAAGAGAGAGTTTACAAACCCAATGCAGATAGTATTCTTCTTGGACGCTAAACCCAGTATCTTAGTGCGGTAAGACAACGGTGCCACCTTTAAACCATGGTTCACTCTTGTTTGGTGTAGTCTATGCTGCCTGTAGACATTGCTTAGATTGTAGAACTAAGAAACGTGCTGATAAATAGTAAGGAAAGTTTACTAATTCTGCCACACAAAAAGACACTGTAAGCTGTGGAACAGATGTATTATGGGAATTCAGTGTGATTAATGACTTCCCCCTGTGCTGGTTAAAAAAATGACCTTACTCTTATTTATATTCATTTATATCACTGTTTGTGTACCCAAAATTTTACAGCTGTTACCAGAATATAGTAGGAAATCCTCCAATTGGGACGCCTGCTCCTGTATCAGCTGTCTTAGAAGGGATTTCCTCTCAACCTCCTGTTGTGTCTCCAGGACAGAATGTGAAAGGAAATCTCCTCAATGGGATGCAGACAACATCAGAGTTCACAGGGTTTTCTTTATCATTCATTACTTCATCTGATTCCAAATAAAAATGTTTTGTTTTTAGATGTATGTTGGATTTAGTTGGCTGTGGTCCACTTTGTGATTTGCTTAAAAAAATCCTTTGTAAATGAGTTGTAAATGAGAAGCAACTTGCACTAATTATGCACTAAATCTCCAAATGTTAGATATGGCCTTGTATGCATCAAATACACATGGTAGCTATAAACACTTCTCCCAGGATGCCAGCAGTGTTCTCTGTGTGTTTTCAGGATGCTTCTGTCCGAGCACCACAGTCACCGCGTATCAGACGCCATGAGCCTCATGCAGGAGATGTTATCGGATTCCCCTCAGATACCAGCTGGGAGCACCAAACCCATCAGGTCCCAGACGTCTCTGTCCAGGCAGCGGATAACCCAGCCTTCCTCTACAAGGTGAGTTTCTAGCAGTCTTGTTAACCACTCTCCTCTCTTGCTTTTTCTGAATTACAGAAACAATTAAAGGAGAATATGGTGTGATAGACAGAAGTAGTTTTCATTCAGATAATTTAATGATTAAGACCCTTATTCCATGCATCCATTCACAAAAAGAGCCCAGCAGGAGAAGGGATGGTCCACCTGCCAGTGTATGGTTGGTTCAATGCATGAGTTATCTATCAATAGGATTCTCATAGCTGTTACTATACTGTCCTCTGTGGTGTTGTTTTGCTATTGCAGATCTCGCACTGCGGTTCACAGCTTGTCCACTGCCCATACTGAGAAAAGTCGGTCAGCCTCCAGAGCTGGGGTACTACAGCCGAGGTTCATATCTTCTCCTTTACGGACACAGACCCAAGGTAAGATCATATGGGCTGTCAGGTGATGTGGTGGCAATACACAGGGCTGCCGAAGTATCTCTGCACTTAAAGGAAACCTGTGCTGAGAATACACGTGAGCTGCCAGTGGTAAACTCTCCTCCTGAAAACACTACTTTCCATACAAGTATGCTAATCCAAAGTATACTCTGAGCCATTGGCCTTGAACTGGTAAGAGACCAGGAGTTGTGACCTTCATCTTTTTTCACTAGTTGCATGCTTCTTCCATGTCAGTGGCTCAAATTGTGTGAGACATTTTTAGGACTCCTCCATATTCATCTTGGTATAGGTTTCATTAGAAAAAATGCTATCATGTCAACCAAAGCATATAAGGTAGCTGTACAGGTACAGTGCAGACATGTGCAGGGGCATCCTTATGTTTAGCAACATGTTACCCAGCATTGCTCAGCTGCATATTTTTATGCAGACTACAGGTGTCAACAAGGCCTAATAACCACTGGTATTTTCCCATAAAACCACTGAAATGTTTTTACAGTAGCTTTCCTGTAGGGAGACAGGGTACTGCCCCGATCATTTTTACAAATTAAAACCAGGAGACAAGAGGCAGTTAGAAATGCAGAGAAGCAGAAAGATATAAGGTCAGAGAAGAGATGTGGAATTCTGCTTTAAAGTAGAAACTTCCACCTTGTTTGTACCTTGGGGTACGTTATTTAGACTCTAGCCACTTCTTGGAGTCTGTTTTTGCACAAAGGCTCTGCTGCATACTGATTCTTCTGCCTGCTAAATGTTTTCACACAGGAACAGCGACATTTGTCCTTCCAAAGAGTGTGTCCGAACCCATACTCCGACCTCGCAGTGTGCCTAGCTACGCTGTTAACAGACGATACGGTAAGAGGCTTATATTACTAAATACTTTGACATATATAAATGAACGGAAACTGTAAAACAACCAATCATATTTCAGCAATAATTCTTTAATACCAGTTAAAAAAAAACCCCATAAAAACAAGCAGTTGCTCCAGTACCTGTGTGGGCAGCACCACTACAAGCACAGTGCTGTGGTGCGGACTAAAATACAATCACATTTACTTTTTACATCCTTTGCTGTAATTGGCAGTTTTGTTTCTGTTCATAGTTCTAACACTATAACAGAATTCTGCATTTTGGGAGCTCTGGACAGTGTAGAGGGTTATTTAACACAGCCTTACTCACTCTGATTTTTGTATCACAATTTAACATTATACTGGACATTGAGATTGTGTGATGTCTGAAATGCTGTAAGGAAATGATGTCATGTCATAGAAATTAGAGATCAGCTGTGCCTCTGATACTTTCTAAATGGATTACACATCTTCTGAAAGTGAGCAGCAGATTGACCAGGTTTTGGAGCATTGAGAGATGCCGACAACTGCTTTGTGAATTGCACAATTCTTTACCAATAGAGCAAATCAGCAAGCACAGATTCAGGAAAATTAGGATTCCTTTGAATTTTATTTAACCTTCCCCATGGACTAATTGACAGCAAATAATTTTTTTCATGTCCATTAAGAGACACACAGGAAGTCTTAAACCTTTGGGTTCTACTGCCACTACATGATGTCCTAATCATAGACACCTAGGCACCTGCCCTATAGTCCTACACCACTCCGTGAGTCTTCAGTTTTATGCTGGTGCCTGAAGGTAAGGATATTTTTTCCTTCACAGAGAAACTCACCCTTCGCCTAACTAGTTTAGTAGTTTGTGCTTTTTTCTTTATTGTCTCCTGATTTTTAAATCAAACTCTCACTGTCTTCTAAAGCCACTCCTACAGAATGCAGAAGGCAATTAAAAGGATATTGTGGAAATATTAGAGTACGCTACAGAAGATATTTCTCCACCCCCCTCCAACAAGTTCATTGCATTTTGCATGCTAACTCTTCTCCATCTTGTCATACCCCTTTGAGTACAAAGAGACCTACAAAGCCCTGCAAGACATGTCCTGTTTAGGACCAGATAGAATGTGCAGTCTTACTCCTCCTAAAATCTTTTCTGAACTCTATCAAGTGGAAGAGGAGTTCACAAAGAAGTGGGTTATTCCTGGAGTTAATCCTGCCATCTCTATCCTAAACAAACATCTCACTGTACCTATTGAAGATGTTTCTTCTTTGAAAAATTCTGCAGTTAGTAAGTTTGAGACACTCCTAAAACTCTCTTTAATTTTGCAGGCCCAGCCTACAACCAGCTCTTGCCGCAATTTCAGTATGTCAAACTGCAGCTAACTGGACTTGGGCAATGAACACCCAACACGACCATGTATTTCAGGTTCCTGCGATTACACAGCAATTACAACAATTGCCTTCTGCTCTACTTTTCTGTGTAGATAGAGCTTGTCATGATCATTTGGCTAAGAGCTTGAATAGCTGAAGCTGCCAGCAAAAGGCGCCTCAGATGTATGCCTTTCCAAGCAAGATGTCTGGTGAGGCACTTTTCCTTTTTACAAGTGGGAAGGTTTTACTTCCAGTGTTGGGAGGTCCCAAAACCACCTTCTTTAGTAGCCCCTAGCCCCTCAAAATGCTGAACACCTGTCTGCTCTTACCAGGCTTCAACTTCAAAAACTTGTCTCACCAAGGCCACCAAGCCTTCCCCAAAGCCCTCTCCATAATGAAGAGGGGTGCCATTGCTGTTAAAATTGCCTCTCTCTGGGTCACAGACAACCAAGACCTGTGGGATTTAATCTGTGGTTTCAAAAAGGTCCAAACTGGAGTTCAAAATTCTACCACATGACTGCTTTCTGCTCTCAAATCAACAGAAAACTGCCCAGGGACAGTTAGATTTGCAAAATGCCGTAAACCACTTTTTGTCCGAGGGATTTGTTGTGCCAATACTGCCACTGGACAGGTTTAGAGGAGTCTACTCAAGCCCAACAGGGGTATTCATCCTATTCTGGATTTAAAATCCCTCAGCAAATTCCTTCAGATTCCAAAATTTTGCATGGAATTCACAACATTGCTTCTTGGATATATTACCATTTACCCATCTCATCAGCTCTTTCTGTGCTTCACATTGGCAGGCCGCCACTTCTAGTTTTGTCACATAATCCTTTGGCTTGTCCTCTGTTCCCAGAGTGTTCACAAAGGTCTTAGCACCTCTGCCTTGCCCTACTCAGAACTCAGGGTACAGTATACTGTACAGGTCACAGGCCTCCTAGATGACCTCCTTCTGAAGTACTCCTCTTCCTTGCAGCTCCCATCAGAAAATGTGCACAAGCCAATTCAGATACTCAGCTGGGTGATCTAGTTTCAACAAACCTGCTCTCCAGCCTTCCCTTCACCTGAAAAACTTGGGTTTTGTCCTCAACACATTCCAAATAAAAATTATTTCTACCAGAAATGAAAGTTTGTTCTCCAAGAGCACATGCTCGAGTCTTGAGATCCAAGGGAAATCTCACATTGAGATTGTTCATAAGAGTTCTAGGCCTAATGGTATCCCCCTTTTGAAGCAGTACCATTTACCCAATTCAGTTCAAGAACTATTCAACAAAATATCTTGTCAGCCTGGAACAAGCAGGCTTTTTCTCTTGATGTGCCAAAGCTCCTGTCCAGCTGAGCAAGGATCACCACCCCAGCCCTAACAGTAGGGAAATCCTACCTTCCCTATAACTGGAAAGTTATTACAACAGATGCAAGTCGGTCATGGTGGTCCAAGCAACATGGTCATTGAAAGGAACCAAGCCTTCCCATCAACATCTTGGCGTTCAGAGCAGTCAATTTGGGTCTGCAACAATGGACCTCCCTTCTGAAGGGGCAATCAATCAGGGTGCAGTCAAACAATGCCACAGCAATTGCCTTAGTCGACCATCAGGGGGCGCCAGAACTCAGATCATCTCTTGGACAGAAACTCACTCTCCAGTGATCTCTGCAGTCCACATTTCATGAATTGGCTACTAGAAAGTTGATTATCTCAGCCGCTTCAGTCTGATATGCCAAAAGTGGGGAACTTCAGATGTGGACATCCTAGCCTCCAGATTCAACAACAAACTACATCTGTTTGTTGCCAGAACCAGCAATTCTTTAGCTCTAGCCTCAGATGCCTTGATAATCTCCGGGTCTCAGTTCAGGCTAATTGACGCTTTCCCTCCAGTGATAATCCTTCCTCATCTGCTTGTGATTCCAAGTGCAGCAAACTGGCCCAAAAGAATCTGGTACACAGACAAATTCTAGCCTCCTCCATACAGACCAGATCTGCTATCTCAAGGCCGTCTATTCTGTCCTCCTTCTGAGTCTCTGGGTTTAATGGCATGGCTGTTGAATCCCAAAGGTGTTAAAGGAGAGCGGGATTTCTAAGTCTGTGATTCCTACCTTGCTGAAAGCAAGAAAAGTCTCCTCTAAGAAGATATATTATCGCTCCTGGAAATGTTTTCAACCTTATCTATTCTCTTTAAAAGGCCTCTGACTTTGCTTTCCTTTGTCAAAACCTTTTAAGGTGTATGTTGTATTAAGCCCCCATACAGTGCCCTGTGTTTCTTTGGGATCTCAATGTGAGTCTGTCTCCCCTGCAAAAAACACTTTGAATCTGTCTGGGATATCCACTTGGAGGACTGCTCGTGTATAATAGCCTTTTTGGTCACTGTCGCATCTGCCAGACATGTTTCTGAACTGGCAGCTCTTTCCTGTAAAGAGCCTTTCTTCATTCTTTACTATGACAAGGTTGTTGTATGTCCATGGCCATCCTTTCTTCTGAAAGTGGTTTCAGCATTTTTCCTCAATGAAGACATTGTCCTGTGATCCTTATCGACTTGCTCTTTGACATCAAGCATCTGTTTCCCAGATTTGCAATTCTGCTACCTGGTCTTCTGTTCACACGTTCTCTAAATTCTACCAGGTGAATGATTCTGTCTTATCAAATGCCAGCTTTGGGCAATTGTTTGGAGACTGTTTGCAGCTCCGTTTTTCTTGGCACAAACCAAAAAATATTGCATGGATTGGGGATAATATTCCCAATTGGGTTGAGCTCCTGCAAGATTTGTATACACATATACCATTATTGATGTCCGGACGTCCTTAATTGACATTGTTTTTAAATTTATGTTGTATATGTCTATATGTGGTTGTGGTTGCTGAACACTATATGTTACTTTGTGGTGCTACTGCAAATGATTTTGCTAATACTGAATAAATACAACCTGTTACAAGTCTCGTTTGCTATCCAATTAACCACTTGTCTCATGGAATGGGCTTTACCCATCCATGCAATATTTTTTGGTTTGTGCTTTGGTTCATGGTTTAGACGGCAACACTTTTAAAGTGAGGAGGCAATCAGTAAATGTTCTTTTTATTCCCCCATTTTTTTCTGTTATAATCAGTTTTCTTGGGCCTGTTAGCCGATGTTTGTTGGGTTGCCCACCCCTCAGTTGGGTTGCTCTTTAACATCCCAAAGGTTTAGAAATACCTGTGTTCATTAATGTACGAAAAAGAGAAAATATTTGTACTCTGTACTCCTTTTTTTTGGAGTCTACTGAGGAACATCAGTCCCACCTCTCTGTTTTTATCATGCTATTGATACTGCTTTGCTACAAAATTGGTCTGCAGTATAACCTCTGTTTAAGCTCTGTGTCCCTCAATGGATTCCAAGGAATAGATTTTATCAATTTTTCTTAATTCTACTATCATTATGTAGGTGTGGGACTTCAACACTTCTTCTAAAATCAGACTGTAGGTTAGGAGACTGTCAGCCAACTGGCTTCTCTCCCTAAATTAGACCTAAAACCAACCTCATGTTTTTGGGGGGTCAAAATAACATCCTTCCACCCTGCTTTAACAGAGGACCCCATTTTGTTTTGCAATTGTAAGGTTTTATGTAACTAATAATTTTAGATTTGTCTGGCTGATTGCTGACCTTGCCTTATATCCAAGTACAGGCCACAGGTATAGTTATTGCAAACAAGAATCACCACTGTTTACTTTTTACCTTCCTTCAGATCCAACCCTACCGGGAGACCGCATCTCTCAGATCACTCGCCGGGGGATGCTCACTGGAAGAAGCAGGACTAATCCTCAATAGTAAAGCTAAAAAATCAATTCTTAAAACCACAACAAAGCTGCTTAAGCCACAACACCAAGGTAAAGGCTGAAAGTGATAATGTTTTCTAGTGATGTGACGAGCTTGCGGCACTGCTAAAAACTAATAATGTTTCTCAACTCAGGAAAATATAATCCTACGTGATTGTGCAGTATTTCAATATGTGTGTATGTATGTGTCTGTCTCTTTTTCTTCTTTTATCTAGATCTATATCTCTCTCTATTTATGACTCTCTCCCTCTCTAAATATAACTTTCCACGTAGGAACGTTTTGAGCACAAAGTTGCAAGCACAAACTTATTGTTAACCTCCATAGACCTAAATCTTATCCTAATCGCTGATGGGCTTTATGTGGATTGCTGTATATAGGCTGTAAAACAATGTATACTATGTTGGCACTAGAAGGGATAAAATAATATAATAATATGTCGGTCTTATCCCTTATCTTATACAGATATGCCTAAAAACCCTCTTTTTGTGGGACTATACAGGCACAGGCTGAAAAATGGTTTTTGTAAAAACAATAGAAAACTTTATTTTACCAAAAATGTTAAAAGGAATACATGTACAGAAAAAGCGACTTTGCATGCAACAATACAGCATGGCACAGTATATGACACATATGGGGATCCAATGTAGAGAGTAGATGAAAAAGGCTTCTGGCGCATATCGAGGTAGGATTTTTAGATTTCTGCTTCACAGATACCCATCTGTGAGAGGTTTGCAAGGAGGAAAGCCGCCACAATTAAAACCAAGGATAGCTACTGGCGCCATCCTGACTTCCACCTAAACTAGGGGGGCAGAGAGCCACAACCGTACAGTTGGTGAGGTCACCAGGTAGGACAAGAGGGAAGGGGTAGTACCGAGAGTAATCTCTGGGTAACACAGAAGAATCTGGCAAGCCAAAATCCTAGACCGTTAAACTAGAGAGACTATCTCAAAAGAGGCTGTAGAGCTGCTAACAATACAGCCAGGCACGGCATGTAGTTCTCCTAGTTGTCGGTCTGGTGTGTATCGGTACCACCAAAGGAGCCCTTCCCTCTTGCCCTATCTGGTGAAGTTGGGATGGCGACAGTAGATGTTCTCGGTTTTAATTTTGGCGGCTTTCCTAATTGCAAACCAATCACAGATGGGCACCTCTGAAGCATCCTATTTATAAACACATCAGGCTTTTCTCATCTGCTTTCTACATATTAGATCCCCATTTGTGTACACTATGCAATGTTATATTGCTGCATGTAAAGCTGCTTTTTCAGTACATGTATTCATTTTAAAATTTGTTGTAAAATAAACGTTTTCTATTGTTTTTTACCTAAAAGATTTTCAGCCCATACCTGTATAGTCCCACAAAAAGAGGGTTTTTAGGCATAACTATACATTGAGATGAGGGCACTCTTCAACACCATGCTATTATCTATTTTTGCCTATACAGATAGGAGCAGTAAGGCGACAAGTCCACAGTCACCAGTGCAGGAGGAATATGACCGGGATATTGTGAGCCCCTGGGAGCTTCCCGAGGAGATCCATAGAATATTATACAGCAGCCGAAACTCCATATTCTCTGAGGTATATAACAGTGTGAGCGAGTCTGTCCTGGGTTCACTAGCTGGGATCATGGTTGCCAACAGGTTTGAATAATGTTCTCCTTTTGATTTGTTCTGTGTGTAAATGTCCTCCCAATTAACATCAAGTTTTATTTCTCATTCATTGGGGGGACACAGGAAGTCTTCAACTTTTATGTCATTCTGCCACCTACAGGCAGCTTTATAGCCCCAATCACCCAGTTATTTGGTTTGCACTTAATATTTTAAAGTGCTGCTCTGCGCGGTTATATTTGATTTGTTTATTTCTTCATAGGTTTGTGTTGGTAGTGTTTTAACCACTTGCCCTCCAGAGGATTTACCCCCCTTCACGACCAGGCCATTTTTTTATGTTCGGCACTGTGCTATTTCAACTGGTAATTGCGCAGTCATGCAATGCTGTACCCAAACTAAATTTATGTCCTTTTTTCACACAGAGCTTTCTTTTGATTGTATTTGATCACCTCTGCGGTTTTTATTTTTTGCGTTATAAACAAAAAAAGACCAAAATTTTTGAAAAATCAAAACAATATTTTTCACTTTTGGTTATAAAAAATATCCAATAAACTCAAAGTTAGTCATAAATTTAGGCTAAAATGTATTCTGCTACATGTCTTTGGTAAAAAAAATCCCAATATGTATATATTAATTGGTTTGTGTGAAAGTTATAGCATCTACAAACTATGGTATATATATATTGGAATTTACGTAGCTTTTACTTTCTGACTGCCTATCACATCTCTTGAGGTGCTAAAATGCCAGGACAGTACAACTCCATCCCCCCCCCCCCCCAAATGACCCCTTTTTGGAAGGTAGACACCCCAAGGATTTTGCAGAGAAGCATGTTGAGTCCATGAAACATTTTATTTTTTGACTATGACAATTTTTTTTTTATGTACACAAAGTTGTCACTTTAATGATATATTGCTCATGCATGCCATGAGTATATGTGGAATAACACCCCAAAACACATTCTCTTACTTGTTCCAAGTATGGGGGTACCACATGTGAGAGACTTTTTGGCAGCCTAGCTACATACAGGAGCTTGAAATCCAATGACCCCCTCCAGGCTTTCAAAGGGCATATTTCCTCATATCACCTCCCAGTACCTATCACAGTTTCAGAGGCTCTAAAATGCCAGGATAGTACAAACACCCCCCCCCCCCCCCCCCCCAGGATTACCCCTTTTTGGAAAGTAGACACCCCAAGGAATTTGATAAAGAGGCATGGTGAGTATTTTACAAATGTAATTTTTGTCACAGGTTTTTGAAAAAGAAAAAATAAATTTTTCATGAGGAAATATGCCCTTTGAAAGCCTGGAGGTTGTCATTGGATTTCAGGTTTATAGCGCAAAAAATAAAAACCGCAGAGGTGATCAAATACCATCAAAAGAAAGCTCTATTTGTGTGATAAAAAGGACATAAATTTTGTTTGGGTACAGCATTGCACGACCGCACAATTATCAGTTGAAATAGCTCAGTGCCAAACAGCAAAAAATGGCCTGGTCATAAAGGGGGTAAATCCTCTGGAGGGCAAGTGGTTAAAACACTATCAACACAAACCTGTGAAGAAATAAACAAATCAAATATAACCACGCAGAGCAGCACTTTAATATATTAAGTGCAAACCAAATCAAAATCATGCAGACAATTCTATATATAAATAAATAAAAGACCGTCCATATATTCACACCGATGATCACCAAGTGTACCTCCTCCTTATGTGACTGAACTCACCTGCTGTTGTGACCTCTAACTTTTAGGAAGGTCATTCTGTGCATGAATCATAAATCAAATTCCAGAGGACATCCCTTCCAATCTGTCATGGTCTGATATCTGTAACCACAAGGCAGTAAGCAGAATCTCTATCTCCACATTGAAAAGCATACCAATCCCTCACAGCTCAGTTCACAGGAGTACCCAAAAAGAAAATTGCTTCTCATAGAGTAATAATATTTGATCAAAAATTAACATTTAAAAGCAATAAGAAAACAACTCGCATGTTAGAAGTGTTTAAGCAGCACTAAACTGTTCACGTGTATCATAATATGGCCGCGCTTGGCCACCGTATTGATAACGATGAATGGAGGAGATCACTATAGTCCTCACCCAAACCAAATAGGTAGCAGAGTGCCAGTGGACCTCCTCAGTGTGTCAGATGCATGTATTATGGCATTATCGCTTCACATGTTTTAGCGTAGTGCCTTTGTCAGGAGCTATTTATTTATTTATATAATTTTTCCCATAATCTGCCCAGTAATATTCTGCCACTAAACAGCAGTGCTATTGACCTATGGATAGTGTTCTTAAGCCAGGAAATGGAGTCCATGTATAGGGAAACCCTATATTACCTTATCCACGACACTGGGGCATAATAATGTCCAGTCTTTGCCCATCATGGAGGACATATCCCCAAATGGGTTTTCAGGATCAGGGGGCCATAGAATGGACCGTGGACCTGTATAGCACCCTACAGCTACCTTCACTTGTTGCAGGTCATGCCATGGTGAGTGCCTGACACAGGATCCAGTGCCTGAAGCAAACATTACAGGCTGCCCCCACATACACACAAAGGGTAAGCAGTCCGATGTTGGCAGAAGAGTTAGATGAAGAAAAGTTTTTAGTGGTGTGAAAAAAAAAATACTTCTCCAGACGAGAAGAGGTCCATCACCTAAGGACATTGTCAAAAAACTGGAGCCTTCTAGAGTGGGAGGAGTTATGTGCATATGCTCTAGGAATGTTCCTAGCAAAAGTGTTTGCTGCCACCTTTAGGTGGTTGGATACTGGCATATATCCCATGGTCAGAGCTCCAGTTCTCTGTCCTGTACTGTACGATTAACATATGAGGATTGTTTTGGCACAGTTGGGACAAATAGGGGAAATATGCATGACAAAGTAGAAAAGAGACATCTGCAGATATCAGTGGCTGTTGTACTGTACTATTACATTGACTGACTATTACATAGACCACAGATTGAACTGGGTGGACCGGTGTCTTTATTCATCCTTAGCAACTATGTACTGTTATGTGTCTGTGTTCTATTGCAGGGCTCATTGGGTGGCGGAGACCATTCCCACAATGCCAACCGGGACAATGCATCCGATAGCACTGGCAGCATTCTCAGCAAGCTGGACTGGAAAGCAATTGAGGATCTGGTGGCCAGTGTGGGGAGTACATGACTGGGCCTATCTGCATCTACCACAGAATCGTAATAAAAAGGAACTCTGTTAAGAAATAACTTGCGGCTTCATAGCAACATTATCATTTTATAAAAAAAAAACTATAATGCTTTCTGTGAGAACATTTTTTTTTTTACTAAAATCTGTAGTATACATATGCTGAGATTTTGATCTTTGCTCCTGTGTGTGGCCATATCCTCTCCTTAGCAGTTTTATATGAACTGAAATAAGGATAAGCCATGCTAAGAACACCTTGGTGTAGAGGAGGGGTGGCTATAGATACAAATGGTCTTG